AATGTTGTTTAAGAAAATGTCATATTTTATTGTTTTCACTTTAATTGTAAAGCTATTTTACTTTCTGTTTACCTGCTTACGTCTATGTTTTCCTGATTATGGGAGCCAGCATCTGCCCTTTTCAAAGGACCTCAGCCTCATGTTTCCCATGTTATTCCTAAAATGACTCATTGAAATTATAATTGGGATTTTCTAATTCAGGTCATTGACTTGTAAAAAAAATAAAAAGAAAAATGCCCTCTAGATTTAGTTGTTTCTTCATTAAAGTTAATCTAAGAGCTTAATTTCATTATAGTGCCAATTTCCTCTATTGCACCTCACTCCCACCTGTCTACTTAGACAAATACGTGTGAATAATTTCCAACTTAGCAGTCTCCTATTTCCCACTGACTAAATGAGATTAGATATGCAAACACAAGTCTGAGAATCACTTTATAGTCCAATATAATAGTTACTTCCCCTGTTTATTGCCCTGGAAACTTATGTAACATCATTTTTGTACAGTCTGCTTTACTCCAAAGGTGATTTCCCCAAACTGTTTTGTGTTTGAATCACATTTCAGCTACTTTCCCTGCCTTCCCCTGATCCAGGTTCCTTCTTCTATGCTGGTTAACTGGCATTGTGACTACAGTAGAATAGTCATTTGCTTTTCTATCACATTAAAGTATTCATAGACCTGTAGGTTGGCATAGCCTCTCTGTTAGGCTTTTTTAGGAGATTCTAGAACCTTTAATCTCTACATCAGTCAAAGAGGCAAGACTTTTTTTTTAAGGATTACATTTATTTAGGAAAATTCAATAGGTATGACCATTTTCTTCTTTCTCTTTGAAAGAAGATGAAAACAAGATGAAAATTCATTCATAGTAAATCTGTCACTTCTCTACCTTACCCACTTTGGGTTTTGCAATCCTAAGTGCTCTAAAAGATAGATATTCTGTCATAAAATGATATGTTCACACAAGAAAATTTAGGGTTACTTCTTGAAAGAAGTTGAAGAGGTATTGAGTACAGCCCCATCCAGGTTATAGAGAAACAAGCGTTCACCTTGTCTATCACCAATTAGTTGGGAAGCTATAATACTTATATTACTATTACTACTAATAATAATGATAGCCAAAATTTTTGAGCCAGTAATAAGGGCAACAATAATAACAAACATTTATTGTTCATTTGCCTCATTATAGAGACAGTGCTAAGGGCTTTGCTTACATTATCTTTATAATAAGTCTTGACTAAGCCACCATTAATGATGCCAGAATCTTCCATTATATGGCAGGTCAAGATTCCAGCTTATAAAATCAGGCTTTAATTCAGTTCTTTGACTTTGTACCAATAGTCCTCAAACATTTTGGTCTCTAAATCCCTTTACACACTTACAAATCAGGATTAAAAGAGTTTTTGTTTATGTAGGTCCTATCTATTGGTATTTCTGTACTAGAAATTAAAACCCAGAAATTTAAAAAACTGATTATGTGCTAATTAAAACTGGTCATGTGTTTTATGAAAGATAACTGAATATTCAAAAAAGAGGAAGAGAAGTGACTTTTTTTATTTTTTGCAAATCTTTTTAATATCTGGCTTAATAGAAAATAGCTAGATTCTCATTCTGCTTCTGCATTCTATCTGTTGCAATTTGTTGTTTTGGTTGAAGTATATACAGGAGAACCAGCCACATGCAGATAGGTAAATGGATCAGGGAAGACTATTTTAATAAAGACTTTTCATAAAATTAAGAGTATTCTTCTTTGATACTAATCCAAATTCTGCAAGTGGTAGTTTCTTAAAGTTTAGGTGACATGTGGAATCTGAAGTGTATCAATGTACACTAATAAGGGTAAGTGCTGTAAGTTTTGAAAGGTAAAACATAGTGCAACCAGCTGAATCATGAGTAGACATATTTATGCCTTAATTACTTCAATAATGTCCTTCAAACCTGAGACAAAGAAGAGACCAATGATTATTTCCTCCCCATGGAGAGGATGGAGCTGTCTCTGAAGTCACTGAGAGCTCTGGAATTAAATAAATATGTCTGTGGTCGTAAAGTTAAATATGCTATCTTCCCCTTGAATACATTGAAATAAATAAGTACATGGGTATGGTGGATGCTTTCTTAAATTTTTCCTCTGACCATTCTGTTTAAAGGAACTTTTTATATATTTACTTGGGATAAAATATGTTCTATTTTCTAAAAATGAAGAAAGGGCCACTTTGGTGACTGAGATCACAAAGCCTTATTTGTTTATTTGTGAACTATGAAACTGCATGCTACTTCTTTTTATAAACTAAGCACTAACATGAATAAGAAATACATTTTTGCAGCATTTGCTTTTTTTCTTCTCTTTTATTAGTATGCTTTAATGGTGCTTCTATTGCTTTGCTAAACAGTGAGATCATTTTATTTCTACTTGAAGATATTGCAAGAGTCTTGTCTACATGTAAACTTTCAACCTATTAACTTGCATTATGTTTCCATGCCAGTAAGTCATTCCTAATGATTCACATTGACTTTAATACAACTTTATTTCTTGAGGGTGGAGAGGGAATATTTATATATTTATATATATAATTTTATTGGGAGAAATATTTTACTTGTAAATAAATGTATTCCATATGATTTTTTTGTTTAAAGTAACAAGTTAAACTCTTTTACAAGAAGTAGAATAGTCATCATGATTTCTCTGAATATAGTTGATTTTCATTTTAGACCATTAAGAGATCCACCCAAAATTTTTTGTTTAGATTCTTCTTTCCAATGTGTGTAAGGATATGGGGACAGGTAGAATAGAGTTATAGACATTTCACAAAAAATAAACTTACAATAAAGCATTGGTTCCCCTCCACCTTGTTTTGTTCTTAAACTAGTACCAGGCACATCAGAGCCAGAGATAAATCCATTTGAGTTATATGCCAGTCTGATACATTGGTGGTGGTGATAGCAGTTTTTTGTTCGCCCAAGACCCAAGATTTTATATAGTGTATTTTAGCAATGCAACTCCAAGTATCAAAAAAAAAATGTTGAAATATCCCAACCTCAGGAAAAAAAACAAATGTATCAACATTAGGAACTGTTCCAGAAATAATTCATTGAGGGGGAGGGGAGAGAATTTATGGGAACAGCCATTACATTTTTTACTTTAAAACTTTATTTTATCGATTTTAGGAAGTTAGATTGCCTTACATTTGAGCTCACATTTTTAAAAAGAAAATAAAACTTTATGGCTAGTCAAGAAAATATGAACACTGACACCAAATACATAGTGTCTTTTCCAACACCGATTATCCAACTCTGATTCTCTGACACCAACTGTGTCTTACAACTCAATCCTATTGTGACACTAACTACTCAGAGTTATCATCAGACTCTTCAGGTTGAAGGGCTCAGTCCCACAAGACTGCCCTCACTTCAGACGTAGATCACCGGAACGGGGGCCCCTGGTTACATGACTTCTGTCTGACTTAACTACAGATTCAAGGGTACTCACAACCTACTCTGACTCTAGTTTGATAATTTGCTAGAACAACTCAGAGAATTCAATAAAATGCCATTCTTAATATTACAGTTTACTATAAACGATAAAAATGAACAGCCAAACAAAGAGGTACATGGGGTAAGGTCAGAAGGGTCTGAAGCACAGGAGCCTCTGTTCCCATGGAGTTGGGGTGCATCATCCAGCCAGCACATGGATGTGGTCACTAGCTTAGAAGTTCTCCAGTCCCCTTTGTTAGGGGTTTTTATGGAGGTTCCATTGTAGGCACAATGGCTTAAATTACTGGCCATTGGTGATTGAACTCAGTCTCCAGCCTTTCTCCCCTCTTTGGAGATGGTGAGAGGAGGCAACGGGCTGAAAGTTTCCTCCTATCACAGCTCCATCCTGGAGCTATCTAGGAGCCTACCAACAGTCACCTTATTAGCATAAACTCAGGTATGTTTGAAAAGGGATTGTCAAGAATAACAAAAGATGCTCCTATTACTCTTATCACTCAGGAAATTCAAAGGAGCTCTGTGCAAGGGACCAGGAACAAGACCAAATATATGTTTTAGTATACCACAACTGGGTTTCCTCTAAGTGGAGAAGAGGTTACAGAGGTAGGGCAAGGAGAGAGATTTTCTCTGTCATGCTGAACATTCCTGAATCTCTTCCCTAGCCACATCTAACATTCAGGTATCTATTGCTGCATATCATTATTACCCCCCAAACTGGCTTTAAACAACAAACAATTATCTCACCATTTTGGAGAAACAGGAATCTGTGCATAGCTCAGCGGGGTGCCTCTGGATCAGTGTCTCCCATGAGGGGTCAGTCAAGCTGTTAGCAGGGCTCCGGTCTCATCTGAGTGGAGCGTCCCCGCCCAAGCTCACACATGAGGTTGTCGGCTGACCTCTGACCTCACCACTCGGACCTCTCCCAAGGGCTCTTCACGGTATGGCAGCTTGCTTTCCCCAAAGAAAGTGATCCAAGTGAGAGAGAACAAGAAAGACCCCCTGGAGATGGAAGCCACAGTCTTTTTATGACTTAGTCTCAGAAGTGATATCCCATTACTTCTGCCAAATTCTGTTAATTAGACATGTCATTAACTCCAGTCTGCACTCAAGCACAGGGCATTGCACAAAGGCATGAATACCAAGAGGTGGGATCATTTACACCTATCTTAAAGGCTACCTACCACACTTGCCCAAACATAATTAATTGGACCTGGTAAATGCTAAGAACCACAGGACAACAGATGAGAAAGGAAATTATAAAGACATTGATCTGGGTGGTTTGCCACTTTTACTTTCTAAAGCTTCTCCAAAACTTTGCTCAAAGTATTCTCATTGCTCAAAACCTATTTAATTTTATTGGCAGTGGCTGGATCTCAGCAAAAAAGCTGTATGCAATCAAAGATGTGAGATCCCAATAGAAGGAAATCAGTTTAACTTTACTTACTTACTTACTTACTTACTTACTTACTTACTTACTGTCAGTTGGTAACAGTCTCACATGCCCATCTCTTTAAAGGGTGAACCCGGTTTCATTGGCCCTCAAGGGGAGCCAGGCTTGCCAGGCTTACCAGGGACAAAGGTGAGTGGAATCTTTCCCTTCCTTTCTTTCTGAATTTTTCTGTCATAAAATGTTTGTCCATTGTGTTGAAAAAAATAGGGGGTAACTTTACTATTTAGGTGACCATACCTGTTTGCCTCATAAAGAATAAAAGCAGCCTGTCACCCATTCTAACACTTCTAATGGAGGCCCCGTATTAAATAGAGTAACAGGAAGTTAATGTTAGAAAGCCTTGGGCAAGACAACAGGAAGGTGGGATATATTAGTTGTTCCAGTTGTCCCCCAAATTGCTCCTAAATTGATGTGGTGCTATGAGCTTCCTGGCCATATGGAAAAGTGGGGGAATTCGGAGGAGGGGAGATAGAACTCATCAACTCCCCCTCCTTATCGCTGATTTTAGGACAAACTTGTAAATCAAACATTATTATTATTCCCACATCACTCCCTAGATTTCAAGGAGTACTGATGTCATAGAGATTCCTAAGTGCCTCATCCCAAAAGGATCCATCCCGAATAACGTTTGCAGAAAGATCCTGTAATGAAAACCATCTCATGATCTTCCATTTGGCAACCCTAGAGAGGGCTCTAAAAGCACAGTCTATATGCCGCCAAATAAAAATTATGCTGCTGCGGATACAGTCAGGCCTATCGTTCTCTTTTTATCTACCCAGTAAGACATTAAAATGTACAGCTCTGAGGAACTTTACTCAGGACAGAGTCATGAATCAAAGGAGGGGCAAAATTAAGTCAAACTACATTTTTTTTTATTTTTAACCCATAGCCGCCTTTGCCTCCATGTGTATTGCATTCGCCAGAAATAAACCAGGCTGATTTCCGGGAGCCAGAGAAATGTGTTCGTGGTCTGTTCTGACAGAGGCGTCCTCATTCCCGCTGCTCAAGAGAAAGTAACTCTAATCCCAGTAAATGGAAACTATGCGTGGCCCAAGGGGCACTGGGTCGAATGTACGCAAAAGTGCTGTTTTTTCAAGCAATTTCATTTTCACATAATGAGCTGTCAGGCTTATTAACAAAATATGAGGAATGCCTGCTTTAGCCTGAACAGACTCACACAGAAACACACTTTCTGGAAGAGAGGGGAGGTGATGGGTGGAGAGAGAGGGAGCATTCTGTGTTCATATAAGAGCCGGTGTACTTATTCAGGCTTCAGCCCCAGAGAAGGAAGGCAGCCTGGTTAAAGGCTCAAAGCTCTGCCTGGTCAATGCTTCAGAGAACCAGGCTGGAGCTAACTCATCTCTAAATGGTGGTGGCATTGGGTTTGCTAAGCAAGGAAATATAGAAGAAGCACGGGCCGTAGAGAGGGGAGGTCAGCTCTAAATATCTCTTCTATAGTTCACCGACGTTAAGCTATTCCACAGTTTCAAAAAAGACCCAGATGCGGGGCCATAAACTCACCATTAATTACTGCTCATGAGGAGCCCAGCCTGATTTTACAGACCAGGTCCTCTTATCACAGATACTACTCTGAACTCCCAATAAAAATGAGGAATGTTCTGAACCTGTTTTGTATTTCTACAAGAAGGGGTGTAGATAGGATATTCATTTTATTAGCAATATTGTGAAGTTTATTTTTCAGCTAAATTGCCTATCATACATGAATTTGGTATAACGGAAAAGTCATGATTATTTAAACATTTCCTCCAGCCAAACACTAGATTTTTTCCCAGTTGTTTAGGTAATCTGGTTTTGTCCCACTCAATTCAGATTAAAAATATAAATCTGTGTTTTACCCCCCAACACAGTGAAGAGAAATCATAATGAAGGAAGGTGTGTGATGGCAGTTAAAAATCTGTTTATGCATTGCTGTGTCCTCAGCATCTACGTCAGTCCTGGGAGAGACCTACAGCAGTCTAAAGAAATGTAGTGTTATTCTCAATAATTTAGAATACTTTGCGTGATACTGTTTATTCGTTAATCCAACAATTTTTTTTGCCAGACTTTTTTTTAGTACCTGAGAATGAAAACTAAATGCAGCAAAAATGGTGTCTATTCTCCTGAAGCTTACCTTCCAGTATGTGTGAGGAAGGGTGGGAGGAGAGAAAGAAGTGAACAAACAAATTACGTAAATCCAGAAAGTGACAAGTGACCAAGTAGGGGCATTGTAATTTTTTAAAGTGATTCTAGGTAAAGATATAGCCACTCCACTCCTATGGTATATAACAGATAAATGATTTTCTAAGCTTTCTGTTTTGCCCTGAAACAAGCTTATAGTTACTATTTTAGAATTCTGCTGTAAAATATTAAGAGAAATGCCAAATATGGTACTTTTTAAAGATAAAAATTCCATATGTCAACAGAAGTGCTTCAGTCTCTAATCCCCGGGGAAGCTCTCAGAGCATCTTTTCCGTCTGCTGCATCCCTCAAGTGCCTGCCTTCCTCCCACCTTCTCCACTGTCCCACCCCCGTTGGTTCATGCTGAGCAACCTCCTGAGTTTTCTGTTATGCCTGCACTGCTCTATCCCACCTCGCCTGCAAAGCCATAACAGCTTCCCAGAGAGGGACTGATACAGATAAAGGTCTTGGAATTTAAAGCCCTGTATCACCCGGCTAACAGCAGACTGAATTCACAACCTGTTTGAGTACTGAATGCTGCCCATCGTGCGGGAAGCCAGACAGCCTACTGTGCTCAGGGAATATAAAACGGCGGCATCTTCCTGGAGGGTGACTTGGCAAACTTCTAATATGTTCATACTTTTTGACACAGCAATTCCACAACTACACATTTTTCCTTAGAAAATGGCCAGAGATGTTCAAAGGATCACATACAAAAATATTTCTACAGAAGTTGAAGATGGAGCACAGTTTTAACTTACTGTTCTTCCTTTTAAAAGCTTTGTGACTTTGAGAAAGTTACTTACCTCTCTGAGCTTCAGTTGCCTCGTCTGTAAGACTGTGAATACTAACGCCTTTCTCATCTGCCCTGTGGATTACGTAGGATAAAGCATGTGAAGTGTCTTGTGCAGTTCCTGCACTCATTAAGGGCATAGTCATAAGCAGCAGTACTTATAAAATACAACCTACTCATCCTTCAGGACATGACTCGAGTCTCACTCTCAGGGGGCCAGTTTGGACCATTAAAAACCCCAGGGGTTTCTTCTTCTCTCATATATGGCCTTATGCTACTCCTGAATTCTTAACTGTTTTGTTATGTGGACCTTGTCTAAGTAGGTCACTAGCTCCTTGGGGGCAGTGGCCATATTCATACTTCACAGAGCTGTGGAGAAAGTAAAGCGGTAATACCTATGTGTCATGTACTACATTTATAAGTTATGAGATCAGTACTATAATTTTCTGTATTTTACAGAGGAAACGGGGGCTTTGGGGACTTAACCAACTTGCCTCGAAACCCAGAACTGATAAATAACAGACCCAGGATGTGGGATTACAAGAAGCCTGGCCACTATATGTGATAAGTTATGGCCATTACAAAGCCTTAACCACTTTGCCATGCTGCATCCTGGTGGTACTGAGAAAGTGGCCTCAGAATGAAAACTATGTCTATTCCTGACTTGAGGCATCATGATGGCCCTTATCAGGTCCCTTTAAGGGTCTTCCATTTACTTACGTAGGTGTTTGACAGGTATTTACCAATTCATGTCTTTATCTATCAAGTGGAAGTGATAATGCAATGGATTGAGCAGTCGTTTGATTAAATTAGATAATTCATGTTGCGATTAATACAGTGCTGGATACATGATAAATACATGGCAATTATATGCTTTCTTTAATTTTATTCAACTTACTTATTCATCTACAGGTACAAGCGGGGGATAGGGGGAGAGAGAGGAGGGTTGCCATTTACAGTTTTGCATTTTGTGACAGGGTGAGCGAGGGGAGGCGGGGCCTCCTGGAAGAGGTGAGCGAGGGGAGCCTGGAACTCCTGGACCGAAGGTCAGTTATTCTTATGTTGGAAAATAACAAACATTCTTTGGTTGGGAAATGTGTGCCTCTTGATTTATAACATAAAACTAAAATTTAAAATTCCTCAACAAATATTAATTTATTGAAATGCACAAATTTATTGAAATACACATCAATTGGTTCTTTTAAAAAAATGAATTTTACAATTTAACTTTCCTAATTTTCTCTCTTTTCGATGAACAAACATAATAACACATCCAAATGTAAAGGGGGAATTACTGTCGTTAACACATTATCACTCAATAGGTATTGAAACATATGAGAACATGTTGATATGTGTTGTATTTAGTTTTGATGGTAACTTGTTGATAACACCTTGAAATTTATTTGACTGTTCAATCTTTATTCCTCTAAACTTCCTGCAAACTAATATGGTAACACTTTATTTTAATAGCCCATCCTAGATACACAGGAAATGATTTACTCTTTGATGAAAAGGAAATTTATGCAAACACTATTGAGACTAATGAGAATCATTCACAGAGCTCTCCCCAGCCACTGGTGGGAGGGCAGTCTTCAGTTATAGTGGAATGCAGGTTGACAGGGAGACCAGGGAATGAGCCAGTGATACTATGATGATATTTATGTTTAGTGTTTTAATAGCCAACATTACACAGAGCCATATATTATGGCAGTTAAAATGAAGTGTTTCCATTTTTATGTCGCTGATCATTTCTTTTCTCTGTTCTTATGCACTCTGTCTCTTTTCTCTTTTTCATCTTCATATTCTCCTGTAATAGGGGAAACAAGGTGAATCAGGAACTAGAGGCCCAAAGGGGTCAAAGGTCAGTAACCAGACAATCATTTTAATGTTACATGAGGCCTTCAAGAGCTGTGCTTTTGGCCTCTTCCACAGAGAATCATGTTTTAAATTAAACTCTTCCAATAATTTCATCCTTATGATGATATTTTAGAACAATTGGTTTGTTTCATCTTGTTTGTTTTTGTGTGTTCCTGTGTTTCTGGCTATTCTTTAAGGCAGCGGTTTTCAACCTGTGGGTCGCGACCCCTTTGATGGTCGAACGACCCTTTCACAGGGGTCGCCTAAGACCATCCTGCATATCAGATATTTACATTATGATTCATAACAGTAGCAACATTACAGTTATGAAGTAGCAATGAAAATAATTTTATGGTTGGGTCACAACATGAGGAACTGTATTTAAAGGGCCAGAAGGTTGAGAACCACTGCTTTAAGGGAAGTTTTATTTCCTTTTTCATAGAATGGTTTCTTTGGAAAAAATTAAGTACTGTACCTAATTTAACTTATATATGGTATAATCTTAATTTTCATTTCCTGGCTATCTTTGTGATAAATATTCCAATTATACTTTGCTTTTTAAAAAAGTCCTCACCATAGGGTATGTTTAGAGAGAGGAGAGGAGGGGAGGGGAGGGGAGGGGAGGGGAGGGGAGGGGAGGGGAGGGGAAGGGAAGGGAGGGGAGGGGAGGGGAGGAGAGGAGAGGGAAACATAGATCATTTGCCTCCTATATGCACCCCAACCAGGGATTGAACCTGCAGCCTAGGGGTGTGCCCTGATGGGGAATTGAACCCACAACTTCTTGATGTATAGGATGACACCCCAAACAATTTAGCCACCTGGCCAGGGCTACTGTGCTTTTAAGTTAGTTGACTCCTTTTATTGCATTAAAATTTCACCACCAATTAAAATTCTTTTCTGTACCATGTTCTTTATAATATTTGCCGTTATCTATACATTGTTAGCAGAATCATGTTATTTAAAATGCTAATAGCTAATAATATGGGAAATTGGTGCAGAAATAAAGAAAACAGAGCAGAAATTATTCTCTATTCTCTCAATGTAATTATTATGGGTCAATGTGGATGGATAAAAATCATAATCCCTTTTCTTGTTTCTCCTCATTGGTCCTTACCCAGTTTATAGGAATATATAGAAAGATATATCAAGATGCTTTGAATTCCATTTAGACAAAGGTCTCTATAAATTTAAGGTTGTTTTAAAGAACCTTCAAATCTACACAGGTTCAAATCTCTTCTCCGTTTCTGTTGAGACTTCTGAGAATTTTGAGTGTTCTCAGAGTGATGTGGATGCAGTTTGAGACTTGGACTATTCCTTGTGTCTCTGCAGGTGGGGTAATAACACCATAAGTGGAACTTCAGAGGTTTTTCATTTAGCATTTAAAAAGACAAGGGAGCTGGGTTTGCCCTGCCCCTGACCTTCAGCCCTGCCCACCAGTCCCAGCTAGCTGCTGTCCACTTCAGCACCTTCTGTGTTAAAATGCCTGTACCCACAGGAAAACTCTTCCTCAAATCTCCATCATCAGAGGAAGGCCTAGCTGGTGACCTTTCCCTTCTGATTCTCCCAGAATGAGCTCTCCGTTCCTTCCCTGTCTCGATTATTTACACATTACCTCTCAGAGGAAAGACAACCAAAGTGGTTGGCTCTTTTTTCCTTTGCCCCAGTTTTCATATAAAGGCAAAAACAGAGCTCAGTCTGAGGGGTAACTTTGTACACTGGGTGTCATGGAAACCACTTGCTTTGCTTTTGAAGATCCCTAGTGAAAGAGCTGACATATGCATTGTTGTTCCAAGATAGTCTCTTATCTGAAAGGGGGATTTTAATTCACTGCAAGATGTATCTTAAAGAAGCATTTGCCATGTAAGTGGTTATTGTAGTTGTCATTTTGTACTTCAGAAGTTTGTAATAAGGGTGCTGCTGTATGGTATTAAATACATCCTTAGATCTGGGATATTTCTAGACTGTTGGTCCTCCTATTAATTAAGTTTTTTTTCTCTTTTCACTGGTGTAAGGGTGACCGTGGAGACAAAGGAGACTCTGGAACCCTGGGACCAAGGGTGAGTGTGTCTCTCCTCCCAGCTTTTGTCCCATATGCCCCCACAAGCCCAGAATTAAAGTATGGATCTATGTGGCTTTTCACAAGGCACCTCGACTACTAATGCCCAATAATAGCACCAGAGGTAGACTAGTGTAATTATTATTGATACACTCCTTTCATATTATTTTCAATTTCACTTACAAGTAGCAATGAGTGTATAGATTCTAACACATAAAATGAGCTCAAGAGAAGAAGGTCTAAAGAACTCTTGATCTACTTTCCCTCTGCTAGACAAGCAACAGCAAACCTATAGTCATCCAGCTAGTAGAATTTTCCATTTTTCTCAAAGAAAAGCAACCACTCCTATTTTTCAGAGCCTTTTGTTAAAACAGGGGCAAGGAATTAGGACATAACTAATGGAAATTCAGTGGCAGAGCCAATGAGTAGGATAGAAATTTTAAAGATATTTGTCTTCTTTGCATTCCCTCTTTGGTTTTATTTCAATGGAACTCTATTCCTGTTGGGAAAACCAGGAGCTTCCTAAGAACAGTGCTCTATCTTCTTAGAGAATGAGGAAGCAATCTTTGCATTGTAAATGACCAGAAAGGGTTAGGGTTGCTTTAATAAATATGGATAAAGCCAATGAATGTTTACAAGTTGAATCAGATTGGCCTACATTTTATAATTTTCAGAAAACAGTTTCAGAGATTGACTCAGACCTATTTTTTAGTCATATTTCCTATCTTTAACATGCACAGACAAGGAAGTTAGAAATGGTTCACCTCCTATGAAATAAGGACAAAATTCAAACATGACTATGTATTCCAAAGTGCAGTTGTGCCTTAGCCAGGAATTGCTGGTCAAAGAGCTGCAAGTTACTAATTCTGTTTTTGCCAAAGCCCCTTCTATATCCTAGCCTAACCCACATGATTTCCTGTTGGTTGGTTTTTTTCATAGGGTCCACCTGGTCAAAAGGGGGATCAAGGAGCCACAGAGATCATAGACTATAATGGCAACCTCCATGAAGCCTTGCAGGCAAGTGACTGCTCCCTGCCACAGACAGTGACACTGATGAGCATAAATATCATCAGCTCCATACCCCCCAGGGACTCCAGAGGGCTCCACTGCTCAAACCACACCCTCTTCCTGTTCTGAACCCATCCCCTTCTGCTTGCCCCAGTTTAGCCTCTTTATTTCCTAGCATTTTCAATCTTCCCTTTCCTTTGTAGCTTCAGAGATGTGTCAGTCTTACCTGGTTTAAACCTTGTGTTTGCTTCACCAATCTTTGCCTCCTTGCTTGAAAAGCAAGCCAAGCAAAGCAATGAAAACCCCTTTGGTTCTGGAGTTGAAGGTGCCTGGGTTCAAATCTCAGCCCTTGTGCTTACTCAATGCATGACCTGGGCCTCAGTTTACTCTATAATGAGGACAGCTGTAGTATCTACCTGATAGGGTTGTTGTGAGCTGCAAATGGCTACATGCCTGCCATTGAATAAGTCCTCTCTGGGTGTTTCTTATTACTGCTACCATTCAATTCTTCTTCTTCCATTAAGTGAAAGCCATCGACTGTGTGGCATGTTTCCATCACTTTGCATCCTAGTCATCCTTTTCATGCTTAGACTCCTGCATTCTAGCCTCTATCACCAGTCTGTTGTAACTTCTCCTATAAAGGTCACTAATAACCTCTAGGTCAAGCACATTGTACTTGTCACCCTTGACTTTTCTGTGATATTTATACTAAACCACCTTCCTTTTCTGAAGCTTTTTCTTCCTGGTTTCTCTGATCCTCTACTCTCACTTCTTCTAGTTTTTGTCTCTGATGGATCCACTCTATTTTTGTATTTCCAGTTTCTCTGTCCATTCCCTAATTTTTGGTATCCTCAAGTCTCTGATCTTTTCTCGGCACATCACTCCATGTTCTTCTGTGTTATGGCTGCTTCCAAATCTGTCACACCGTGTCTGATCTGCATATACTTCCAGCTGCCTAGGAATATTTCCTCCATGGATGCACAATTGATTATCAACTTCCAAGACACAAAGCTAAACTGGTTACTGAAAGGGAAACCACCTACCAAGTGATTCCCTTTCTTAACTTACCAGTTTCTGTAAATGATACCACAAGTCTTTGAATTTCTTGATAGAAACTTTAGAGTTATTTTTTAACTATCCTTAGCCCTTCACCCATTATACCTCACCAGATGCTACTGTTTCTTTCTTTCAAACTATCTGTGAGGTTGCCCCATTCTATTCATTCCCAACCAAGTCCACATCCTATTCATTTCAGGTCTAACACTGCAACAAGCCCTCAGCCAACTCCCCTGCCCTAGTGCCTCCTTACTCTTCTACCATCCTGTACATCACTTCAAGGTTAATTTTCATAATTTTTACTATTTTGGTGGTCTCAATCTTCTCAGAAACCTAAATGGACCCCCTCGCCTACTCTATCAAGCTCAAATTTCTCTACCTGACTTTAAAGGTTCTATATTCATCTGTTTCCTACACAGAATTTTCTATTTTTCCAGAACACATTTTCCCCTGAAGTGGTCCTATTGATCCTATTTATAAAAATCCTCCACTTTTTGCCTGGTTCATCCCATTCTTCTTTTCTTTCTTTTATCCATCTACGTCCTCTCCAACAATGCACTGCTGCCACCCAGATGAGATCCTCCTCTCTTAAACATTAGCGGTCAGAGCCCAGTAGTTTAACATTTAATTATTCTTTAAACCACATAAGTTATTTAATCTTGCTGCTTACCTGACTGAAAGTTACTTGGTGATGGGAAATCTGTCTTGTACTTACTCTGTATCCCCCAACATGCCTGACACAGGTCTGGGCATAAATATTAAATAAAGTCATTGGGTGAATGAGTGAGTATACTTATCTCATATGTACAATCCATTTATTTGCTTGAAAGACTCAACAGTTGTCTTAAATATTTGCTATTTTCTATTTGTTTGGGGTTTGTTTCCTATCCTCATGACTTCACTAACATTCTCTAATTATTGTAGGCCTTCATTCCTATGAGTCTTTCGCTACAACTACCATTTTTACAGAATCTATTCTATGTTCAGCTCAGCCTACTTTTTCTGGTCTTTTCATTGGTATGTGTAAAAAAAAAAAAAGAGAAATAGAACAAGAAGGTTAGTTAGGTACACTTACTATGTTTTCAAAGTTCTTACTTATAAAATATAGGGACACTTCTTAAACTTAATTTATTAACAATGTTGTAAATTTCCCTTATACTGCTTCCCATGGCACCATAATTCTTACTACAATCTTTAAGAGATATCCATTGTCTTACCTTCCAAGAACTGCTCCAATATTGTTGGCCATTTTTCTAAAAAAAAAATTGTAAAAGAGGACTTTTAAAGCATCTTGTGCATGAACAGGGCCTGGAATGGAGCAATTCCTATCTCAAGAAATGCAAAGACTTATGGTACCATTAACAGAAACTGATTAGTCAAGAAAGAGAATTATTTAAGCTCAAACTAAAATCTCTGTTTTGATCTCCCCTCTACTACTAATTAGCTAAGTCATTTTAGAGAAATCAATGTATCTATACTTCATTGATTGCACCTGGAAAATGAGGACTTGATTAAATAGATTTTCTTCTAAGAGTCTTTAGATTCTGACATTATACTTAGGATTATTTTCTGAGCTCCTGAACCCTTTCTGCTGGTGTGCCTGAACACACTGTATTTTACTAAAATTGTGACACCTGCATCTTGATATGAAAGAATATCTGTGCTGTTTCTTCTTCTCAGCATGAGTTCTATATGACTATAAACAAGTCAATATTCATCATAATCAACTGGTTCATATTTATATCTCAACCTCTAAAGTTTTATTATTCTTATGGGCTTGTTAGGGCAACTATATGTTGTGCTTATAAGTAGTTTATAGTGCCATTGTTTTTCACTTCAAAACTATTTATTTGTTTTTCTAATTATATACTCTAGTGAATAAGAGTCCCTTAAAAAAATGAACTAAACTAAATAGCCATTAAACTGAAAGGAAATAGTAGACATTTATTCTTCTAATTCTCTACCCAGTTTTGGATTTTCACAGTTTTGTTTCATTTTACTATTGCCTCCTCTAAAAATTCTGCAAAAAAGTCTAGGGTAATTAGATAAATATGAGTATTTTACAGTTATAAAAATATCACATTATAAATATTTTACTGTTGCCTCAATTGAAATTTGTTATTTATGTGAACATTTGCCATAAGCCACTTACTTTTATTTAAGGTGGTTGCATTTCCACAATTTGCAGTAAAATTTCCCCATTTCCTACTCAAGCTTTTAAAAGTCCTCAATAGCATTCAAACTAAACCTGTTCTCTGGTGTAAATCATGGGGGATGTTAAGTGTGAATCTTTGTCAGAAAGGAAAGGAAATAACCTCTAATTCTAAAGTGATTTGCATAAGTATCTCAGGGAATAAGTCACTAAGCAGCCTGCCAGCCTTCAACCCATTCAGTCATTCTAGCTCATGCTTCCCGTTTCCCGTCATGCCTCACGAATGGCATGCCTTTCTTCTCTCCTACAAACAGCATTCTGGCTTTCAAGTCATAGCTGAACTTCAAGCGAGAGTCCTGCTGAGCGTGTGCACCCTTAACTTAGAAGAGCCAGACACAGGAAGGCCAACATGAGCAAACATCTTTAGGACGTTTCTTTGTGTCTGCACACTGGTGCTTCAGGATGGCAGTAAAAACTCTGGTTTTGAGAACTTAGCTTAGTGTTTTGTCATTTGTTCTTCTATGAACTGAGTGGAACCTGCCCTTTCCTATAGCTTTTAGGTCTCACAAATACAGTTATTTAACAAGATCATTTAAGCCCCATCTGTTAGATAGTTCCGTTACCATTAATAATACTCTTTTATTATGCACCTCATTATAAAACATGCTGTTATCTTTAAATTTATAAAAGAACTAGTTTTGTGTTTAGATAAAAAATGAATTATATGTGGCACCTGTTGGAAAACCTTCGAGGGTTCAATTTTTAAGTTCATTTTCCTTTTCTAAGGCCTTATCACTCTGTTTTCTAGTTAAAATTGCAATGTGTAATTGGAAGGCAATGATAAGAAAGTATTTTTACTCTATAATTTTCTAGCAGATTTTTTAAAATGACTAATTTACCTATAGAAATGAAGAAATGGCTTTCTCATAATCCTAAATTTGACTCTTGCTTTAGGTGAATCCCATATGAATAAAGTAACTGGTATCTGTTTTTGGATTCCGGTCTAGGGCACATACTTTGACTGCAGGCTCCTCCCCAGCCCAGGCCTGGTTGGGGCACGTGCAGGAGGCAACCAGTCAATGTGTTTCTCTTACATCAGTATTTCTCTCTGTCTTTCTCTCTCTCTTCCACTCTCTCTGAAGATCAATGGAAAAATATATTTGGGTGAGGATTAAAAAAAAAAGTACTGGTTGATTTTCTCCTACTATGTTTTCTCTGAAGCTGTAATGACCATAACAGATTTTATCACAGAGTACAAAGTGGAATATGTATACACATGCATAAATACATTGTTTTCTAAGGAATAATGACATCATGTCACTAAAGCCACAAGTGATTGAGGTATGACAGATAGTGTTAAGATTATTTTTTCACAACAACAATAATAAAAAACAGCAACAACAACCTACATCAGAAATTGGAATGGAGTATTAGTGGGAAGCAACGGGATGGTGCTAAACTGGTAGTCACAAGTTTCCGTGCAATTGGATAATGTTTCTCTATTGGGATTGGAGTATCCAGTGGAGAATGTTTGCCCCTCTTTGGTTGCATAAATTGGTTATAGGTCCTATGCAACATTTAGCACAAAACATAAATTAGAAAAGATTAACACAAAAATGATCCTAGATTAGGGTCAGGTGTTTTAGAGATTTGTACTTTCAGAGGATACATTTTGTTACAGAACTCTAGCACTTTATATTAAGAAATTAGATGAATCCCATGTCAGCTTCTATCTTTACTGGTAGACATGGTACAAACGAAAAGAGTAAAAAATACCACTTACACAATTAGATTGTTCAAGTTTTCTCTAGTTCAGTGGTTCTCAACCTTCCTAATGCCGCGACCCTTTAATACAGTTCCTCATGCTGTGGTGACCCCCAATTTCATTGTTACAAATTGAACATAATTAAAGCATAGTGATTAATCACAAAAAGAATATGTAATTATATATGTGTTTTCCGATGGTCTTAGGCGACCCCTGTGAAAGGGTTGTTCGACCCCCAAAGGGTCGCGACCCACAGGTTGAGAAACGCTGCTGTAGTTGAAGTACTCTAGAAGATCTAGAGATCATATGAATGATGAAGTTTCTCAGGTCGCAGTTAACTGACAAACCTCTAGTCTGTAGTATTTTACTACATAATTTTTTAAAATCAGATGAATTAGCCCTGGCAGGGTAGCTCAGTGGATTAGGTTGTGGGTACAATCAGGGCACATGTAGGAGGCAACCAATAAGTACATAAATAAGTGGAACAACAAATGGTTCTCTCTCTCTCTCTCTCTCTCTCTCTCTCTCTCTCTCTCTCTCTCTCTCTCCCTATTTCTCTTTCTCTATAAAATCAATTTTTTAAAAAAATAAGTAAAATGATAAAATCAGGTGAATTAAAATTTTGCTATTTTTTTTTCCTTTATCCTCAGACTTTTTAAATAAAATTCTAAAAATAATGTTTAAAGGAATCTTTATAATATACTAGTATTCTATTCATTTGAAGATAGGATTATATGCTCTCAGATTCTTGTCAATTCCTTATGAGTTATCAGTCTTGCCAAAACATATTCAAAACATTGATTGTTTCAGAAATGTATTTCTGTACTTTGGCACACAAAATAGGTAACTCTGTCTTTATCAATACATTTTCCCAACAGAGGATTTCCACCTTAACTGTCACGGTAACTCCTATTGCATGATTTCTGTAGTGTGTGGCTTTGTATTTGATGTTGATGCATGCTGCTCATAATGGTACTAATGTAGCAATTGTGTTTATATGAGATTTATTTTTTCTTATATAAATAACCTTTTTCACATTTTCCCCAGTTTAACCACTTTGTCTGTTTAGTGAAAAAGTCAAGAAAAAAAGAGTTATTTTTCTTAAAAGTATTGGCCTTATCTTAATTATATAGTTTGTTTTTTAGTGTTTGGGAAAGCAAAGCCTTTTTGGGGGTTGGGGGGAAGGAATGTGTCTAGAGGCACAGATAATATTAATAAGCTAATTCAACCCAAGAAAATGAATGTGATACAATAGCAATTTTACATTATCTTGCAGTTCAACTCAAAAGCATCTTCAGTATTATTATGGCCTACATATTTGTTGATGTTTTTGCATATAAGTAGGTCTGCAACTGGTGAAATTTTCCTCCTTGCAAATCAATATTAGGAAATATTTGATTGTGCTAGAAATTAAGGAAGTATGGTGTATACTCATTAAAGTATAAAATTTAACACATAGACTTGGCTCCCTTTTATAACTTTGTCTTTTCTGGATTTAGGGTCCCCCTGGACCACCTGGACCTCAAGGACTACAAGGGCCAAAGGTTACTCTTTATTTTACTTATTTCCATTTACCACATATGGTGCAGAGAATCCTATATTAAATATTTGTATCTTTGAAAATCAATTTTACAAAATGCTGGAGAGCTGAGATCAGCAATATTGCTTAAAGGAGGTAAGAATAGAAATTGAGGTTTAGGTTGAAGGAAAAGGGATCAGAAAAAAAAGGGAAATCAGGAAAGAAGGGAAATAAATAGGAATGGCATTCCATTTAGGAGGAGGCCATTGAGGAAAAGAGAATATTAAATAAGGGAAAAACAAGTTTTATATAAATTATAAATGTAAAGAAACACTAAATGTGATACATGAAGAAAGTAAAGTATTTAATTAGAGGAGAATTGAAGGAAAATGTACTCGGACACTAAAAAAGATCCTTCCCTCCAATTATCCTATATAATAAAGAGGTAATATGCAAATTGACCCTCACACCCTCACAAGATGGCTGCCTGCGACCAGGCCGGCAGGGCGGTTAGTGAGGGACGACCAAATGACTGTACAGCAGGCTGCATGGAGCAAGCAGGCTGCATGGGGCAACCAGGCCAGCAGGGGGGTTAGTGAGGGACAACCAAATGACTGTACAGCAGGCTGCATGGAGCAAGCAGGCTGCGTGGGGCAACCAGGCTGGCAGAGGGGGCAGTTGGGGGCAACCAGGCCAGCAGGGAGGGCAGTTGGGGGTGACCAGGCCAGCAGGCAGGGGCAGTTAAGGGCGACCAGGCCAGCAGAGGGGGGAGTTGGGGGTGACCAGGCTGGCAGGGGGATGGTAAGAGGCAACCAGGCCAGTGGGGGGACAATTATGAGTGACCTGGCTGGCGTGGGGGGGTGCAGTTGGGGGCAACCAGGCCAGCAGTGGGGGGCAGTTGGGAGCAATTAGGCTGGCAGAGGGGGCAGTGAGGGGTTGACTAGGCCAGTGTGGGGGGCAGTTGGGGCAACCAGGCTGGCAGGGGAGAAGTGAAGGGTGACTAGGCCAGTGTAGGGGGGGCAGTTGGGGGAAACCAGGCCAGCGGAGGGGGGCACGTAGGGGTGACTAGGCTGGCAGTGGGGGACAGTTAGGAGCGACCAGGCCATCAGGGAGGGGACAGTTGGGGGTGATCAGGCTAATGGGGGGGGCAGTTAGGGGTGAACAGGAAGGCAAGCAGGTGAGTAATTAGGAGCCAGTGGTCCAGGATTGTGAGAGGGATCCAGGATTGGAGAGGGGGCAGGCTGGGCTGAGGGGACCCCCCCACACACATGAATTTCATGCACTGGGCCTCTAGTTTTATAATAAAAAGAATAAGGGATACATTCACAATGACATTTTAGAAATCATTTGAGTCATTTTTATAGCATCCTGTTATTGTATATATTCAGACATTCTGCCATCTAAATCTTATCTAATGAAACATACTTGGTTATATCTAAAATTTGTTGCTTGCATTAGCTTTCTCCCTCCAAACTAAAGTTTCATTTTCAATCAGTTAACACATGGCCAGTTACTCTGGCTTTTCAGAACTAAACTATGTGTGTTGAAATATGACTTTCATCATTGGATTTTTGTGGGCAATTCAGGTAGTTTAGTAATCCATCTTTTGTTTATGCCTCTTAAGGCAATTTATTTGCTAAGTCTATCATACACACACAGACATGTCCACATACATACACACACATTAGCTTTTGTACTTTTCTCTTTCAAGAAACTTGAGCATAGAACACTAGCATATTTTTCTATTATAAAAAGAAATATAAAGTAAAGTATTACTGAGGTCCTTGGTTATGGGAAATATATTCGAACATAGATCTTAATTTCAAACAGATTTCCTGTATAACAGTGTACAGTTTAGGATTTTTAAACTTTCTATTTCTCCACCACATTCTGGTCCCTAAAAGATGTAACACAGCCATACATAGCCTTTGTTCTGGTGAACAAGTTGGCCTGGATTCATATTCTTTAATATGTTTGTGAGCTGGACTAGACAACTTAGAAAGAAATATGCAGATCTATTTTCCTCTATGTAGAGTCAACCAAGGTCTGAGTTCCTTGTTTCATCTCCTCACTTGACTGAGTCTCCAGAAACAAAATTGCCCCCGGTGCTAACTCTGCACCTCATTCCCTACAATCCTCCACAGCTTCTAGGACTTCATTTTTCTTTACAGCCCAAATGCCTGCAAAAGCCCAAAGGGTGCCCATCCCTTGGGCCCACAGAGGCAAAAAGGACTACCTATCATTAAAACTTGCATATCCTGGTTTTATAACCCAATTGCTATTCATTTATTAATTTAACTAGAGGCCCAGTGCACAGATTTGTGCACCATTAGGGTCCCTCAGCCTGCACCCTCTCACAATCTGGGACCCCTTCGGGAGATGTTGGACTGCCAGTTTTGGCCCAATCCCCGCAGACCAGGCCAAGGGACCTCACCTGCCAGAGGGACCCCATTCAATCCGCAGACGCCCTTTGAGCCACTGCACCACCCCAGGTGTGGCCGGCCAGGGAGGGACCACGGGAAGTTGGCTCCAGAGCATGTCCGGCCCATCTCACCCAGTCCTGCCCTGCCAGCCACCTTCTAATTAATTTCCTTTCAATGTGCACGAATCCATGCACCGGGCCACTAGTTTATAAATAAGAGTGAGTGCTTTGATCAAGATGCAAATTAAGAAGGTTGTCTCAGCCTTGGGAGTCAAGATTACTTCGAGCTGAAACTGAGAAACAGGAAAATTGACCAAATGAATGTCTAGACAAGGGAAGGGGGGAGGCAGTTAGTCATACTCCTTCTTACCCAGCCATTCTTCCCACTGTCCTCACTCTGCCCCACCCCTCACACCTCACAAGGATCTTGTAATTGAGGTCTTGGGTTAGTTGATATAGTCCTTTGTGTGTTCCATGATCTCTCCTTGAGAAGGTTGAGATAATTGGGGTGAGATGTGCCTATGACCAAGACTCAGCAAATACAGCCTGAGTCAAACTTAAACCCACTCTCACTCAGGACTCACAGCCTCAGACTGAATGAGAACTCTTTCAATTAGCATTACTCCTTCCTTTATCAAACATGGATTGTTGGACTTCTTACACATCATATAATTCTTTACAAACCACTTTTGATCGGTGAAGGATAAATGAGTAACTTATGAATTATGTTTTACTTTTAAACACTCATGGGTCACATTTTGAAGGTAAAAGTTTAGCAAAGCAATCATTATTGGACCCAGAGTGCTGACAAGTATTCAGACTGAATGAAACTAGGGCTTAGCCAGTTGCATCCAACCTCAGCAGGCTTTGTGGCAAAATAAACTTTGCTGCTACCACAAAGAACAGGAAATCTGGAAAGAAAAGCCCTTTTTCTGTCTTTTTCTTTTTTCATTTGTTTGCTGTGCCTTCTAAAACATTGGAAAGCTCAAATTTCATTCTGTGGCCAATAGCTGTTAAAGTTTTTACCAGGGAAAAGAGCTCTAGCCATTTCAGTACTGTGGTTTATAACATCAGCAAACAAGCCTTTCTAGAAAAATACAGCCTCAAGTCAGCTCCCTTGGAATTCTGTCTCTGAGGCAGGCCATTCAACCCTCAAAAGAACTGTTTTTAAAGTTTCCACAATGTGGAAACAAGGGATATTTATAATGGGATTCAAATACATGATTCATTGATATAAAATAATATCTTGCCTTTGTTCAGTACCTTTCCAACTGAAAGGTGATTGGACATTTGTTGTTTGAGTAAATCTCTAGCACATTGTTTAAATTTGTTTTTAATGGAACATCTTTAGTTAAGAAAAAATAAATCTATATATTTTGGGTTTGTCAAGGTTCCTAATAAATCATAATATAAATAGTAAATGTAGTGCATTCCTAACATAGTATGGGAAATCGAATTGATCCAAAAGTAATTTAATGTGGATTAAGTTATTATCTGATTTATTACCTTTTTCAGTGAGACTTATCTGGAAGTAGCACATTCACAATCATTATGAATTTTTGTTTATGGTTCAACCAGTGTCAGTTAAACTATTGTGAACTTATGGGGCTTTGCATTTTATTGTCTTTTAAGATAACGGTCATGTTTTTACTTATTTCTCAAATTGGAAAATAAGAGAAATCATACAGATTTTTTTAGGAGAAAAAAAATTAACCGAGGCATATAGGTTGTTGCTATAGATTCATAGTATAAGACATGGTCAGGCATCAAATGATTTTTATCAGTTTCCTTTCATCAATTTTTGTTTAGCCTGCATCTCACATGAGGGGAAAATAAAAACACTGGATGTTAGCTACATATGAGTATTGTCATACATAATATTCAAGAAAATGCTATTTTATTTAGTTTAGATATGTGGTATGATGTAATGGAGTATTCTTGGGTTATGATACATTTGCTGAAAGTCAAATTGTACCGTTACCAACTAGCAACATTTTTATATAGCGTAGCATGCTACTAATGATAAATGGAAGGAAGCCATCAGTTTTTATCTTAACAGGGAGAGCCAGGATCTCCAGGAATCCCAGGAGTTGATGGAGAGCAGGTAATTTTCAAAGATATGTACTGTCATTTAAAGCATTGTTATCGATCACTACTTTTATTATAGGTTTGAAGCCAAGAAAAACATGCATGTTGATATGTGATATCCTCTTTTTTTTTTTCCCCCCCCACCATCTGTTCTGGAGACTATGTTAACTCTAAAAAGCAATTGCTCTTATTTATTTATTTTTACTTTATTTTATTTTCTCTTCCCATCACCATTTATCCCCTCTATGCCGCCTTACCCTCCACCGTTCTCCCTCCCCCACCCAGTCATGGCTCTGTTGTCCCTGGCCATGAGTTCTCTTTTTTCCCCCTTTTTTGCTCAATCTCTCTAACCCCCAACAGAACTGTCTGCCTGCTTTCTCTAACTGAGTCTATTGCTATTTTATTTTTTTAAAAAATATATTTTGTTGATTTTTTACAGAGAGGAAGGGAGAGAGATAGAGAGTTAGAAACATCGATGAGAGAGAAACATCGATCAGCTGCCTCCTGCACATCTCCTACTGGGGATGTGCCCGCAACCCAGGTACATGCCCTTGACCGGAATCGAACCTGGGACCTTTCAGTCCGCAGGCCGACGCTCTATCCACTGAGCCAAATCGGTTTCGGCGAGTCTATTGCTATTTTAAAAGGCAGTTGGTTTTAAGTTAGTTTTCTTTGCAGAAACATACAAGTTGTATGATGCTTTGGTTTTATCTTAATATTCCTTATCAATCTACCAGTGAGTCCTATGTGAATTTTTAATAGACTTGTAAAATTATTACCTATTTAGTAAAAATATCCTACTTTTACCAGTGAATGTAAATGATTCAAGATTAAAATCAACGACGTAGATATTGCTTATATATGTTTTCTTTTTGCAGATATAGATTACACCTAATTGTTGAGAGTATTAGAAAAGACAGAAACAGGCAGGGCTGTTGTAGCTTTGCAGAATATGGCAGTTTCTCCAAGGTGTCCCCTAAAACAGAGGTTGGCAAACTTTATCTATAAAGGACCAGGTAGTAAGTGTTTTAGGCTCTGCAGTTTCTGTTGCGTATCTTTTTTTAACACCCCTTAAACTTTTTTTTGTAACATTCAGCCTATACAAAACAAGTCCTGGGCTGGATTTGGCCCATAAGTCAAAAAGCATCTGCCAGTATTTCAATTCCAGAATCAAATCACAGGGTTAGTTTCAAGCTATTTGACGTTTTCTGGGCTTCCATTATTTACCCAAGAAGTGGCTAAAATCAAGTAGTTCATAAGAAATCAAGGTGATTCTTTATAGTTATTAAAATATACTCCTCAGGTGATAGTATTAGATAGGGAAATTAAGTTTGGATATTTTAATATCAGAATTTTATCTTGAAATTACATGATGTAACATTAAATAAATGTGGTAATTTAAAGAGACTTTAAATGATTCATTATATGAGTCAGAGATCACATTAGAACTTTTTAATCTGGTTGTATATTTCCTTTCACACTATTAGCCATTATAAATAAGTTGGCACGCATAGCGGCATGCTTCATGATCCGTGCATGTACAATAGCTTGGGGGCGGGGGGGTTCTATAGACTTTACAAGGTTTTCTTCTGCTACTATGTCCAGCAGGTTGGCTATTCTGCTGCAATCACTAGAGCCCTAAAACCAACCAGGGTCTGATTAACCAGTAAGATTTATTTAGTCATTCAGGCACCTTCCCATCCACCCACCTAAAGGATGATCTGAAGTAGGTGCTATAAAATAGTATAAATAACAAGAAAAGACACATTTCTGTCTACAAGTAGTTTTCAGTATAGAAAAGATGAACAGGTTATGCAGTCTCAGCTTCCCTTATTGTAATAACTATGATTGTGTCTGCAGAAGACGGGCTATCTGGTCACATTGCACTGAGGAATGCAGTTTTGAGGAATGAGGAAATTATGCATTTCCTTCAATGAAATGCTTAACAACATAATTTCAGTATTGGTATCATTAATTCAGAGTTGTTGGCTTTCAGAATACACATTTACTAGTATATATTTCCTCATAGTAAAAGGAGAATAAAAATAAGATCCTGGGTCACCTCACAGAGATGCCCTGAGAACAAAGTAAGAACACTGTGGAAAAGTTGCAGTATTTCTAAGCATTGATTGAACATCAGTGTGCAGTGAATGATTTTCCTGTCTAGATTAGACCATTGAAAACTGGTGGTTATTGGAACTTCTGCCTGAATTTCAAGGGGACAGTAAGGATATAGGGGGAGATGGGATACATTTATTTGGACCTTTGCTATTATAACACTAGGTTCTGGTTCAGATGTGTACTTTGCTGTTGAGAATTAAGCCATTACATTGTTTTCAGGACCGGTGATATAGAATTAGCTGCCAGGTAAAAAATATGAGATCAGGAGAAGTGATGTCAACACCTAAGTTCATATTTTTCATACTTACATGGCCTGAATGATAGAATGCAATGCCTTCTATTACACAGGGAAATAATGTTGATTGAATGTAGAAGGTTGCTACTAGAAATAACTCTACCTAAAAACGAAAATCAGAATCATCGTTACATAGGACCCACCTACTGACAAAATTGATCTGGAATTCTGTGTTCCCTAGGATGTCATTATCAAGGGATAGTATGATTCTCACATGCAACCCATCTCATTTATAGGGACTCAAAGGCTCAAAGGGAGACGGGGGGGACCCAGGGATGCCAGGTGAAAAAGGAGGAATCGGACTTCCTGGATTGCCGGTATGTTTCTGTGCTCCTATTCAGATAAATAACCAGAAAAGAATTATATTATTAGCTGCAGTCTCATCTGATCATTCATATGATCTTCTAGTTGTTAAGTATTTTAGGTATTGTTTAATTACTGCATGTGGGGCTCTACAACAAATTTTAAAGCGTCCAAACAAATGAATTATGAAATAAACCTTCATGTTTCCCTGAATTCATTTTGCTAGAAGGCACTAAAATAAATAAAGTTGGTCACTTTAATTTAGTATGCATAAGATAGTGATAACTGATCATTTTTAAATAAATCATAATTTAAAAATATACCAAAAATGTAAAACAATTAAAAATAAATTACTCTGGAAATTCTCCTCTTTCCATGTATGATACTATGGGAAGGTGTTTTTCCCCCATAATTTTTACTAGAATTGGGAAAGGAAATTGTAGACAAACGTAGGGGAAAAAATTCAGAAAACCTCATTGCCCTCAATTTTTTTTGAAACAAGGAAGTGTATAAATAAATGTTAACGACATAGTTAAAAGACTGAACTTTGCCTTTTAAAGTGAGCACTGCCATAAAAATATAACACTCATAATATATGTTCAGCAATGTATAAGTTGAACCAATCAAGCCTAACTTGGTTTACATTTACTTTGCATTTTATTTCACGTATCACCCACAGTCTGGGCGTTTTGGGAAACTGGAATGTAGGAGGATAAATCGTTCTTTTACGTATCATGTGTATAATATGCAAATTTCAAGGGGATGACGGGTTTGGGGAGAAAATTCAGTTGTTCCTTACACTGTGAAAATAACTTAACCCGCTCTCCTCTCTTACTGGTCATTTGTAGGGTGCCAATGGAATGAAAGGAGAGAAAGGAGACTCCGGATTGCCAGGTCCTCAGGGCCCTTCTGTAAGTCCATGGTGGCTGAACTCCCATGGTTCCTGAAAAACTCCAAAACGGGCCTATTATTCATCTAGTTCAACCTCTGCCAGATGGCTTATCAACAGTGGAAAAACCATGAACCCCTTGGTTTGTCAAGCAGTAGAATAAATACTGTTGGCCTTGGACAATGAGAGACGAAATGCCTCAGAGGTCTCAGTTAGAAGCAATTTTTCAGAGGACTGTCTAATCCTGGGCAGGGGAGGGGGGGGACCAATGGTTTTCCCATGACTCTTGTGGTAGAGCTTTGTGGATATAGAACATACGTGCTTTTTTTTCTCTCTCCAGAGCCCTATTGTTGCCTAGTGAAATATTGGAGAGTTTAATAGTGGTTGTGGCATTATAGCATTTCTTGGAAATCAGTTGCTTCCTTTTCGTTTAATGTATGTTTGATTTATTCTGGCTTTTATAAAAGAACTGTATTTTTTTAAAGATTTTTTTTTGTTCTCATAAAGGAATTTCCAAACCTAGAGAATCAAACACATCATTTCTTCCAGTATCCTTCTTTCTCTGCAACTATTAATGGCCTTAACAGAATCCCAGCAAAAGATTCAAGCCAAACCACCTTATCTAAATGAAGTAACCAAATCCATGTTTATTTTTTGACATACAGATCATAGGCCCACCAGGCCCACCAGGTCCCCATGGTCCACCAGGCCCCATGGTAAGTCTCTCTTCTCTCCAAAATGTAGTCATTTATTTATGAGCATGCTACTAGAGAAAACATGAGCGCATTCCTCAAAACAGCCAGCTTGTATTTCCTACTGCTCTCTGTGGAGTGGACAGAAAATACGAGGTGCTTTGAGATGTACTGACTTTACAGTGTTGTCTTTCACTCCCCCAAACACGTCTGTAGGAAAGAGATAGAGCAGTTTTGTGATAGGAAAGTTGAAGACAGACAGATTTGGCAAGCTTTACTCCAGCCTTACCACATGAGCATCAGAAAATCATTTTAAACACTGTTCTGGGCTATTGGTAGCAGAATAAGATTAATAATTATAGCCATTAAGGCATGTTTTTAACCAACTTCTAAGATTAAGATCCTTTAATGAAATGTTCAGTGAGAACATTTATAAAATAATACAATAAAAATCGAAGCTCGCTTCCACAGGTGACAGACATTGTTGAATCCTTTCCTTTGCACTTTATGGTACTTTGATAGATACAGTCTTTACTGCAGGGATCCCTCAGTGATCCCGCGGTGATCAGTGTGACAATGGCCATGTCCTCATGGAACTTAGGTCCAGTGAAGAAGGCAGCCATTAAATTCTCCAAATGTCTATCTAATGATGGTGTGTTAAGGGTAAAACATGGAAGTCAGATGCTTCCAGTGCTTTCGACCGGGGCAGGATGGGGACAAGTCCAGCAGCCTCTGAAATCACATTCACGTCTAGGGGTCTCAATAATCACATGTCTTCAATCATAAAGATTAAATACAAATCTAAGAAAGAGCTTCATTGGAATGATGCAAGCCACAGAGCACAGTCCAGATCCAGTCATCGGTTTCTTACTGCCTTTCCTATTTCACCCACAAAACAATTATAAATAAGCTTTTCTTAAAAATGAAACAGTTTTTTAAGAATTAAGCAAATGGCATATTTTGGGTTTTTTATACTCCCTCCACTTTAAGTTAGAAGATTAAACAACACTATATCCTGTTCCTATCCTAAAATTAATTAGTTTAAAAGAATTTCAAATCATTACTAAAATGAGATAAGAATACTTGATAAAATATCAGACATTTCCTGAAAATGTTTATTCACAACTTATCTAAGGAGAAAATATTCCAATGGGCATGTATGTAACAAACTTCAATGTATTGCTTGTTAAAAATTTTTCCTACTGTCATATGATTTTACTGATAGGCACTTAAATACTCTCCAATAGTTTATTTAAATTATTCGAAAACTTTAAAGCAATTCACGGTAACCTTTAGTTAATTTAAGTTGGCTAATTAGTCTCTATGTTTAGATTTTCCACAAAATACAGGGAAAAAGCCCGGACTCATGCATGAGTTATGACTTCCTAACATTGGTAAACATTTGTTGCAAGAACCTTGAAGAATTCATCTTTGTCAAAATAAATACATTCTGCTGGTAAATAATCCTTCCCACTACCACATTAGATCCTTTCCTTAGCCTTAAATTAAACAAATTATGCAACAGGGCTGCAGAATTGACTGTCATCTTTGCATTTCCTTTCTACCTCAGGGTCCCCAATACCAGGGTCTAGAGCAGTGAGTAATGGGAAGGGTCCCCTCTTCACTAGTATTTAAAGTCTGGGACTTTCCTTTGGTAAATTTTTGTCTTTTAAGACATCTATATTTTATATACATTCATAATGTATCTCACACTTGCCACCTATATTTTTAATGGAGATTTGAGAAATGGGAGCAGTAATTCTATAGTTACTATAATTCTCTCAGATTCCACCCTCCCCCTCTCAGGTATTTAGCATAAAGGATCGCTATTGTCGTGCTTGAACACTGTGTGTCATTTACTTGCCATGGCTATGGTAAGAGTTTCTTTTAGAAAGAATACTATGAAATGACAGGGATTATCATTATGTATCTCATGGTGATGGAAATTACTATTGATATTTTTTCCTCTGTATTAGCTTTTGTAATGGCCATGAAACAATGGGATGATTGAGTAAACCATTATCTTTGTTGTTGTTGTTAAAAAAAAAAAAAAATAAAAAAGAAATGCTATTAATAAATTTTCTATGACAGAGCAATCCAGAAGCTGGAAGGAATTTCCACTAGGTATTAACATCCATTGGCCTGCCTTGGAGCTATAGCTCAAACAAAGAGATTCTTGTTTTACATCTCTTTTGTTACGTTATGTAATCACTTCTGCTGGGAAACAGTGAATCAGTTCTTAATTAAAAGCTGTGTTTTTCATTTTCAGGGACCCCATGGACTTCCTGGACCAAAGGTAATCTAACAAATCCCTTGATTATTTGATTTCTGTTTCCTTGTTAATCATGGAGAAGCATGACGGAAGCATGTCTGTCCTGTCTTATTTACTTGTCAAGAATGTTGATAATCTTTAAGCCTTTAAGTATCCAGATGTTTAACTCTCACAACACAGAATGACTTAGAACAAATTTAAGTGCTATCACCTGGAGATGAATTATTCCTCATTTTGCCTTTTTTTTCCTTGTTATTATGTAAGTTTCTGAAATCACTAATCATAATATACTCAAAATCAACCATTTAGAAGTAAATCTGATGGGATTCTCAGCCTAGTCCAGATGCCTTCCTGTTATCATATCTTTAGTTGTACATTTAGATGTTATTGATACTTCTTGCTTGTCATGTAGCAGTACCGCATCTAAATGCTTTGACTGTCCAGCATCTTAATTTTGTACTCCCCTGAGGGCACTGGCCTAGAATGGAGTGGGGTGTATGTGTGCTATGCTGAGATTACATCATATACATTGAGATACACACATATACTCTGAATTAACAAGAGAACAATGGAGAATAGCCCCTCCTTTTTAACATTAGTTCAGCATGTATTGTGAAGATGGTCTCTCCACCTGTTCTCTGCTTTCGTGTAAACCAAGAGGAAACCTTGGAGGATTGGAATGAGCCCTGAAAGACAGTCTTCTTCTTCCAGGGGACATGCACGATAAGGAACTATATTCTAATCTCAGCTCTGCCCTGACATGCTCTATTACCTTGGGCAGATTATTTACCCTCTCTGATCCTTCATTTACTCAAGTAGGTAATTTACCACATAGGGTTGTGATGATTTAATAGCAAAATATCTGGTGCAGTTGTTGATAAGCACCCATAAGTGCCATTTGTTTTTGGTAACTTCTGATTTGACGCTCTGTTCTGAACAGAAAAATTTAGCTAGTCCTAAGGCTGTTTTAGAGAAGGTTCAAGTACCCTTGAAAGCTCCTCAGTAATGAGTTGGTGCATTTTAATGGTGAGGGGTGAGAGAACACATAATGCAATGTTGGCATAGGAGTCAGAAAGGCAGCCCACCCTCTCCTCTGGCTCACCCAGCTCTAGCAGTGGCAGAGATATCTCTTTGACTCCTGAAACCTGAGTTCCCTTTTCGAGGTCAGGCAGGTGACTCACCCAAGCACAGGACGAGTTCATGCTTCTTTATTCTTTGTAGAATACCTTACCTTCTGGTGAGGCCAGTGAGTGGTAGTGTCTCAGAATCATGGATTATAGTTTGGGATAAGAGCATTGTTCTGGGGGTCAGAAGAGAGAGCCCATCTACTGTCTTTGTAATCTTAGTAGTTCTCTGGGCCTCTTTTCCCACTCTTGGCTTCTCCTTGGATGTTAAGGCACCCCTAAAGATCAGCCCAATCATATTAACTCAGACTAAAGCCATTAAGACTGTGTTTTTAATTCCTTGAGTGATTCAGATATCCCGCATTAGATTAATAGATGCCCAAGATTCTTTTGATATCTAAAATGCAATGATCTTTTTGCCTACACTTAAACTTTAATTACACTTAAATCATAGACTTCAGAGAATTTTTATAAAGTTTCAAAGGCCTCGTAGAATACCTATTCTAATTCCTTGACTTTATAGATGATAAACTATAGGCCCAGGTAATTTACCCCAAATTACACTAATTAAATGACAGGTCTGGGACAAGAATTTAGGTCCATCATTGAAATTTGGTATTTTTGCCACTGAATTAGACTGTTTATAAACTCACCTTCTAAGTTAATGACCAGTCCTATCAATACATGATTCCTCACCAAAGCATTTCACAGCCTACCAAGGCTTTCCTGCTTATCCATCATCTCAAGACCACTTGCTGAAAGACCACACACATGCAAAGCCGGGTATCTCAAGTTTAGACCAGTTAACTGAAGTAGACTATTGAGCCTTGGCCTTGACCTCACATGAACTCTAGCTCTGTGACATACCAACCATTTGGATTCCCTATAGTGGAAGCACTGTGATCATCCTATCTTTAGAATCCCAAAATTTCATTACGTTTTGCCCAAATGTGTTCATTCCTTTGTGACCCCTTTGAAAGTTTAAATATGTAACATGGTACTAAGGGTGATCTGTTTCCCAGCATTTCCCGATGAGAGGAATCATCTGGAAGGCTTATTAAAAATACACGTTTCCTGCGCTACTAAGGTCTACATGGTACCCCAGGCTCTTTATGTTAAACAAGCACCACACTGATTTCATCACCAGACAAATGGGGAAAGTACCACCCTCCTGCCATGTAGACATAGCCTCTCCTCCCTCACCCCCCACCCAGAAAGACTCTATAGGGCTTTGAGACTGAAATAATCTTCAAGGCTTTCAAATTTTCTTGATGAAGTTAATGTCTGTGCTTAAAAGTTAAAGAGTGAACCAGTTAAACTCTATTTCTAACACCCTGCTGCTGCTGATAGAACATAGGTGTACTGTATTCTTAGATTTAAAAAAACAAAACAAAACAAAAACAAAAAAACACAGAGTCAACAAAATTTATCACTTCCCGTGGCTTTTGTAATGTAACCCTAAACTAAATTCAAACCTTCCTCATTCAAACATTGGGCAGATGAACTTAGTACATGTAAGTTCTGTGATCTTCATGTTTTCTTCTGGGATTGGCTATTTGCTGTCTACTCTATTGATTAATCCAGGTAGGGACCTGACTTGGCAATGTCAGCGAATGAGGACTCACTAAATGGCATTACTTCAAACATCAGCGGCTATATTTTTAGCTCATTCCCCTGGGCAAAATGCTTAAAGGCTTAAAATGTCTGTGTATAACACTGTCCTGCATATTCCAGTTTTCCATTGCAGCAGAGTGGGTTTTTATTACTGAATCTCCTTCAGCATCCTCCACTGATTGTCTCTGATTTGCTTGGTCAGAACAATGGGGCACAACACCAATATCCTTGATATACAACTGAAAATTTCAGGAACTCAGTTATATATATTTTGATTCTAAAGAGCATACTTTCTAGGGTGTTTTGTTTCCTAGAATATTATTTGTCCATTTCAGTTTATTAATTTTGTCATGTTTTAGAAATTAAGTTTGAACTGATACAAGACAAATCTAGCCTGACTCAGCTGTTACCTAAAACTGGAATCTGCAACCATTTCCGAGACTGGCTCTCTTCTCTCATAGCTGAAACGCCCGTGATAGCAACCAAAATTGGCATTTGCTTTTGCATTTAGGGTGAACCAGGGTTAAATGGTGTTAAAGGATTGAAGGGTGAACCAGGTCAAAAGGGTGACAGAGGACCCCTTGGTCTTCCAGTAAGTAAAGAAAACTTTCCATTTCAGTGCAAATCTCAGACTTTTCTTTCTACCTTAAGCAACTACTCTGGTTTGCTTGGCAACTACTAATAGTTGAGATGTCTGTAATTGGAGAACACATTGCGTTTCTTAGTGCAGAGCCCAGCCCAATTTCCTTTCCCAACGTCTGCTCTTCTGTAAGAGGAAGACCCATACACACAATGCCATCACTGTTTTGTCCTTCGATTACATGCATGCCAGCCTTCCTCTGTTAAAGCTGACAATTCTCCTCCCATCACCCTCCTCTTTACAAACGTACTGTGCTCCTAATTTCTCCCAAACTTTTTTTTTATAATTTAGTGCAGTTTTAAATTCTCCTTCAATTTTTTTACTCCTTTGATACCCAAACTGTAGCCCTCTGTTGGTGGCAGGTGTGCGATTGGCCATTGTTGATGGCAGGAGGTCAGTGCGGTGGCTCCTCACATTAATCAGTCATATCGAGGTCTGAATGTTGTATGTTGTTTGTTTTGGAAATGCTCTCTTAAGATATTATTGTGGCAATAGTGGATAGGACGGGAGAAGTATTTTGCGATTGTTTAGAGATTTTTATTTTTAAGAAAAAAAGTGGATTTTTTCCTTTCCTGCACCTCACGCCAGTCTTCTTACCACAACTAAAAAGATATTTTTTTTAAATGGTTATTGACTATGAGGTTGTAGTTTCAAGCTTTTACTATGCTGTCTATTCAGTGAATGCCAACAAAAGTCAATAAAGAACATTATAAATTACATGATTAAAATGACATAAAATTGATAATAGGAAATAATTTATACACATATTTTACACATAAAAAAATTGTATTATTAATTACATCTGAAGCATAAAATGGGAAAATAGTTCTGCAATCTTGCCAAGAGAATTTATAGAGCTAGTGCATGTCTTTCCTAAATACTTCTTCATCTAATCAATTTTTTAAAGGACTATAAATAAATATTTGAGTTTTGAGATACAAATGCCATATCAAAGAAGCAATTGTGCTTATTCTTGAAATAAGCATTGAAAATGTCATCTTTTAATCTTTCACTGGAGCCCAAGGTGAAGACAAGCATGCGTTGGATTGGATTTTTAAAACATTTCCCATCCAGACTTTGCTGTAGTGATTATTTGATTACTTCAAGTGAGTTAAGGAACAGTTTTGTTTGGGACAGTTATTTTTTGTTTGGACTCAGGAGCTATTTCTGGCTTTTTCCTGTTCCTAGAAGTCCCTCTAGTGGTGACTACTGTGAACACAGTAAGAACAACCCAGAAATCAATGACTGTTCATGTAGAAGCCACAGAGTCATCTCGACACGTTCAAGTTCTGCATTTGTCATTCATAAAGGCTATTTTAACAAGCAAGACTGGAGTTCTTTTCTTCTCCTCTGAAATGCTATCCTTGATTGATTATTATCATGAGACATTTCTTAGGAGATCGGCCATTATTTTTTCTTCAGAATTTAAGAAAAATATTGTGAATAGTACAATCTTTAGAAAACGAATTTCATATGGATATCAGCAGCCTGTGGCTGTTACTGTAACTACTTTCAAGCCCACTCCATGAACCTAATTACCTTGATTTCTAAATAAGAATTTGCCAAATGGAAATGTCATAAAAATGCCATCGTCTATGGGGGTGTTTATTGTCCTGTGTTTTGTTTTTTTGTTTTTTTAACTAACAATTTGTAGCAATGTGATATTCATCCCAGAACCCTGTGACTGAGTATTATGTTGTTTGAAGTGTTACACTTGTTCACTGGTACCTCATACTAATCTCTGTTCTTGTCATTCGTGTTACACCCACCAACCCTGCTACCAACCAAATCACACAGGGAGCATCTGGCTTAGACGGAAAGCCAGGAGCCCGGGTGAGTCAGTGCCTCCTCGTCTTGCTCCAGCGCGTTTGTGGCTGTGAATTCTGTGCTTCGGACAGACCCTTTCGGCTCATGTGTTCTCATTAGGAGAGGAGGGTACTAGGATTGGGGTAAAACAAGAAGGTGACAAAGACAGTGGCAGAAAAGGGGAAGGTGGACAGAGCATGGGCTGCGGCTCTGTGGGACGTACAGCCTTAACTACAGAACATGTTTCTGAAATGGGAGCTCAGGTCTGGATTATCTGCTAGGTGACAAGAATAGCCAGTCTAATTGGCATCATTGTCTCAGAATCCTGGCAGATTTCTCCATAACCAGTGACATTTCCTGTAATTCCAGGAGAGAGGCCCTCTGATGGGATTAAAATAATGTGGATTTATTTTAAGTTGCTTTTCCTTTTATGTTTATGTTCATATTAGAAATGTACCTTCTTCATTGGACTAACTTTCAAATCTTTGTTCATCGAAATGAATTGTCTGTCTTCTGTTGTTGTCTCTTTTCTTTGGCTCTTAACAGTTCCATCTCTTAAATTTCAGCTGCAGGGACTCAGTCTTTACAAGTCTTCTGAAGATGAACTTTGAGTTCAGGCAGTAAAAGATCAGTTTAAGATGGTGAGAATTCACCAACATTAGAATGAACTTAAAACCCTGAGTTACTTCATATCACAAGGCTGTAAGAGAATAAGCAAGAACAGTAGGAGAGAAATAAAAACACTAAAAAACGTGTGCTGAATTGTTCCACGTGCAGATTTTATAACAAATTCTTTGCAAATCTAAGCATAGTCTTCCTGAAAATGAGCCAACATACTTGAAGTCCTTGCTACAATTTTAAGAATCAAAAGAAATGTTAGCTCTTTAATTCTAAAAACCTTCTCCAGGCAGCCATTGTTTTCCTTGGACCTCAGTGACCCCATATTCATTCAGATATTATCTCGTGGGCCACAGAAATCCTGAACCTAAACTAGGAGGCCAGAAGGCAGTTTTGCCGTTAAGTCATCAGCTGCCTGGTTTGTGCCTTGTAAGCCTAGTGGCTTCCGCCACTGCAGCAGGACCTGCAACAATAATTCCTTCCCTCGAAGCCCCCTGCTGCTCCGCATGGAGCTCAAGAAAGTTTGGTTTGAACACTGTTCTCATTTGGTTTTGTTCACTTGTGTAACTGTTCAAGCCTCTGAGGCAGCTGAAAACAAGGCTTGGGAGCATGGGTGGCCAAGGAAAGGAGGGCTGGCAGTGGCGGGTGGAGAACGAATGTGAACAAGAGGTGGTGTGAAGGAAACAGCCGCAGGTTTTTCTAAGATGGGGGAGGCAGCGTGAAGATGTTCCATTCAGTCAGGAAGGAAATGTGTAATTAAATATGATCTACAGCTTTTTGTGTGGGCCCTTCATGGAAACAGGCAGTTATATATCTCATCCCGTTTGCATGAGATTCTTGAAAACCACTGGCCTGAAAGAATCCAGTATAAAGCACTTTGAAAGGAGAGGAGTTGTCTTACTGACATTCTTGGGCGTCATTCGCCCAGGAAAGTCCTGGATACATTATAACTGCTTTTCTTATAGCCCTGGGATATGTCTCATATTGTCTTATTTTTTATCTTTTTAGGGTACAGATGGCCCTATGGGACCGCATGGCCCTGCAGGTCCCAAAGGAGAAAGAGTAAGTTGCTCCTGAGGTTACTAAGCTATGACCTGAATAAGAAACTAAAGTGTGGCCTTTTCATTTTACTTGAACTTCCCAGAAGAGACCAAGGGCCATCTACTCTTCAATGAAAATAGATATGATCATAAGTTCTACTCAGAGTCTTCACTCTGAGAGAGAGATCAACAGAGTATAACCTGGAATATGGCTGCCCTAATAGAAAACAATGCATACATTTGCATAGCTGACATGAATAGCTCAGAACCCGTAAGGAAGATATTTTTACTTAGCCTTAACCCCGTAAATAGAAGTCAATAGGGCTAACACTTCCACGACTACATATTCTGGCTGATAATCTTTCATAGAAAGCTATTTTATTTCATTGAGAGTAAGTTATAACTTTCTAAAGAAAATGACCAAAACCTACATATTCTTTTCCACACAGTTATACATGCTGCTGTTTAAAACAAACAAAAAAAAAGAATAGTCTGTCTTCCTTTAGCCATACGGAAATAATTTCAGTGCATTATAAAACAAAAACCTTTCACTAACCTCTCTATTGCTAGGCCATGTTTCCATATCCTTGGGAAGAAAAAAAAAAAAGTCAGAGTAGAAGATAAATATCTGACACACAAAAATGTGCTGCCGCATCAGCAGCTGGTCATCTGTCTGGAACTCCTCTCCCTCGTTCTCTGTTTTTCTCCCACTTTTCCTTTTCCTCACCTTGGAGCACTTAGAAGTGTTTGTGTGTCTGAGTGGAATTGTGTCATCAGTTTCCCCACCACCCAGGATGGAATGAAAAGAAAGTATCCTAATAGCGAGGGCTTCAAAACGTTGGAATAATTCATTTGTGGTCGTTTGAAACTAGAGAGCATTTCATCAATCTGGGATAATTTGTCCACGTAGTGATTTCTTTGATGTACATCCCAATTCCACGTTCTATAAAGTGAATTCATTCAATAAATATCACATGTTACAATGTATAAAACACAGTGTACTTTCAGTATGAAATGGAAACACACTCCTTTTTATGTAAAGTCTATTTGGCTGCAATGAATTAAATGCCATTATAATGAATTCCTCATCTAATGATCTTTGACTAATACACTAAATATATTTATTCAGTGCTGTAAAGGAAGCAGCATTTTCCCTGATCTAGAGGAGCTTACAACCTAATTGCAGAGGAAAAAAGACCCCTGAGAAAAATAACCAGATAATGAGGCCACAGTGAACACAGATAGGCCCAGGCTGTCCATACAGCGATAAGGGAAGCTGGCTTTGTCCAAGAACGCTTCTAGAAAGAAGTGACTCTTAAAGGCATAAATAATCTGAATCTGCAGTTACCTTTATTTGATCTTATTTCTAAGATCAAGCCAATGACTTATGAAGCTCTTCTTAATTAAAAATATTTAAAAGCGAAGAGCCTCCACTGCTGACCCACTCAAGCACTGTGTCAAGAAATTCAGTACATGTACTAAAAATGGAGCAGCAAATCTCAAGTAGTCTTTTGGCAGGAGGCCCTGGGGCTCAAGAGGGTTTACCATTTGGTAAATCAGCTGCTACTTCCGATAGCTCCACAGTGTCACAAGAGTATCAGGTCTCGGCCCTGGGGCAGGATTAACCAGGAGAGCAAATGAAATCTCTAAGAATTTCTGAAGGCATAGTTGAAGTCAAATGGTGTGCAGTGTAAAGTGTTACACTTGTATTTATTTACTCAGCACGTTAACTATCTTAACTGGGTCCGATATCAGTACTCCCTAAGTGCCCCTCACCCAGAGTGCTAAACTGGAGTGTGATGCTCAGTGTTAATTGATTGAGGCGCCATCTGGACTGTCGTGAAGAAGTTTCAAATTTTAAAGCGGGAGGAATCAGGAAAGGGGGCCATTCTAGAATAATTTCTTAGTGTAGACATGCAAATGAGAGAGCCGAATAAAATTAGACCAGCCTACCGGAAGCCAGACATTTGACAGTGTTTTTCAGAAACTGTCAGATGCGTGACTGGCACCATTAGTATTCCGCTCTTCAAGCTCGCCGAGGTTCCTGCCTTCCGCTGATTTCTTCATCTGGCCTTGTAACTTCTTCAGAACTCTGCAGAAGTTGTTAAATTGGAGAGGTGCATGTCTTTTTTTTTTTTTTTTTTTTTTTTTTTGAATTATTTAATCCAGGAGAAGAAGTTGCATATTCCAATCCCTGTGTTGATATTTCACTCCTGAAAGTTTTCAAACTGAGACCATTAGGATGCTTTTGACTCTAAATGGCAGCCCCCAACTCAAAATACAGTGAAGACATTTACTGTTTTATATAACAAAACGTTCAGAGAAGGGCTCTCGGCTTTGCTTCTGTGCCCTTTCCGCCTGCTGGCCTTGTCTTCTGACCACTGGCAAGCAGGTTCCCATGTGCTGACATCCCCCCTCCCCCCCAGGAGCCATGACAGAGAACACACAGAGACCTTCCCCTCCCACACCTCTTTCTTTAGCAGTGAGGAACGCTCCCCATAGCATCCCAGCTGACTTCCCCCACACCTCCTATCCACTTCTGAAGCAGTCACTGCTGAGAGAAGTGGATTGCTATTAGCTTAAAGTTATTATTTGGGGAGGCCAATTCTATACAAAAAGTTCCACACACAAATGTTTGAGTGACAGCTTAATTCAAATAAGCCATGGCATATTCACTTTAAAAACAAAATAAAGCGGAAGTGCTCAATCAGAGGAGGAGGAAGGGAATAGGTATATCAAAATAATCTTTGGAGCTTTTTCAAACAAAACTTACTCTAATCTGTTGAATTTTTTAAACTAGATCTACTCCAGGTTATATGAACCCTCCTTTTAAACCCCTACCTCCCACTACACATACCCACACCACCACCACCACCATTTTAAAAATCATAAATAACATACCAGCTCAAAATGAAATAAATTTATTTTGAATTAATTTGAGTTGCCGAGCCTTTTTTTTAATTAAAAATAAGACCTCTAATTGTATAATAATGATAGATACTATTTATGGGACATAGTGAATTTCATATTTTATAATCAGAAAAATTCTAATTGAATATGTATTATTATTCCTATTTAATAGCCAATGAAACTCAGGCACAGAAAGGTTAAGAAAATTACCTAAGCCTTGATGGGGGGTGGCTCAGTTGGTTGAAGTGTAGTCTACACCAAAAGGTTTCAGGTTCAATTCCTGGTCAGGTCACAGACCTAAGTTCTTGGTTCGATCCCTGGTCAGGGTGCCTACGGGGAGGCAACCAATCAATATTTCTCTCTCTCATTGATGTTTCTCTTTCTCTTCCTCTCTCTCTAAAATCAAGAAAAACATAACCTTGGGTGAAGATTTTTTTTAAAAAAAAAGTTACCTAAGGCCATACAGATAGTTCGTGACAGGACTGGAATTCAAATTTAAATGTGTTTTATTTCAAAGCCTGCCACTTTCCTGAAAGCAAATGCAGCTCTTTCAGTAATACTGAGTAAAAGTTCAAAAGCATTGATCATATTTATTTTCAGTGGCCTCCCTATTCTTTATGTGTTTCTGGGTGACCATGCTAATTAGCTCCACCAATCCCTAAGTTTAGATTAAAGAAGAATGTTAACAGGGACTTTAAATTTGCTCAAATGGGAATCTGGAGTATAGACAAACACAGCAAAATACATGGATCTGCATTCAGAGTGAGCAGCTGAACTTGGCACTTTACTCATGAAAAAGAGTTGCTAACCTTTGAACTTCAGAGGTGTGATAAGAGAAGGTAACATTTTCTGTCTGACCGCTCACATAAACATCATCGTGACTCCTGAAGTTTTCATGCTAAATCCTGACAAACACATTAATTTTGAAGATGGGGGCAGAAGGGGTTTTTTACTTGAAATGCAGAATATCTTTTTCTCTGTCATTGTAATTATTTCCTATTCATGGGACCACCTCCAATTATACTTATTCTTTATAAGCATTCAAGATTATCATTTAATCCTCGGCTGGTTTTTCTCAGTGGTTAGAGCACCAGCCCATACACCAAAGGGTCAAGGGTTCAAGTCCCAGTCAAGGGCACGTAACTGGGTTGCAGTTTCAATCCCCAGCCTAGTGGGAAGCAACCAATCAATCTGTCTTCTCTCTCTCTCTCTCTCTCTCTCTCTCTCTCTCTCTCTCTTTCTCTATCTCTCTCCTTCTCTCGTGCATGTACATTCTCTCTTTCTCCCTCTCCCCTCCTCTCTAAAAATCAATGAAAAAAATATCCTTGGGTGAGGATTAACAATAATAAATAAATAGCAACTTAAAATAATTAGTAACAAATAAATGTTTCACATTAATGCTCAAGAAACCCGAATACAGCATCCTAGACACGCTGGTCCTTTTGCACAATTGGGCAGTGGAAGTCTTATGCTCTTTCTAAGGTGATTTAAGAAAATCATCTTATGTAGATTACTTTTACTGTATCATTGACAGAAATTCTGGAAGAGCCTGAATCTTTGGTATTTTGATAGAATGATAATTCAAACAGGAGCTTTACACACACAGGCCATTCGGGCACAGGTGTGAACATTGGTGTGTGTGTCTGATTTGAACTTTCTACCTTTCATTTTAGGGTGAAAAAGGAGCTGTGGGAGAGCCCGGACCCAGAGGGCCCTACGGCCTGCCCGTGAGTCCTCTGTCTGGTGTGCGGTCTGCACCTTCAGCATGCACAGACCACCTGCCACTTAACCCTGCCCTTGTGGGACCAACTAATCACATTACAGGAGCAAGGACAGTCCACTAATTCTCTACAAGCCCAGTATCACCATGTCCTCCAGAGACAGGTCACATTCATGTCGTCCTCCCACTCACGTACAGACACCTGCCCTCACACGTCACAAGACTGAGAGGATCAGAGTCACCTAAAGGTGGGACTCCCCCTGTCCAGTGACGCCTTGCCCCTACCATCTGACTGGACGCCCATGATTGGCACTTCTTGGGAAAGTCACTGTACCAGAAGTGGGTGTAGGAGCTTTATTTAAAACAACTTCCTGCAGATTTTATCTGTTCTGATAGGTTACTTCCTAAAACCACTCTTGCTAATTAGTCATTTCTCGAATTGATGTTTACGATGACTCGATGTCTCTGATCCCTCTGTTACTGTCATCACAGGGGATCTGGAACATAGGATGTGGATAAAAATTCTCAATGACACAGACTTCAAATTGAGGCCTCGGGTTTGCTGTAGGACATTATCTTTGGGATCATCACAAATGATCCCATGGGGTAGGGAAGGACTACAATAGAACTGTAGGCTTGGATTGAGGTTTTTAACCCATATGCACGTCCACATACCCTGGACTTTCAGTTTTTATGAACTGAAATAATAAACTAAAACCATCGTAGCTTCAATGCTGAAAGAGAGGCTGATTTTAAAATAGATTGAAAGTGAAGGCTGATTTTTAAAATAGATTTCAGTTGACGGAATCAAAGCAACCTCTTAGGAACTCTGGGTGGATCCATTGTGAGACACAATAGGCCCTGCCCCGGGCATCTGTGCCGTGGGAGTGCGTTTATCCTCCTCGCACAACAGCCTTCTGGCCCCTTTCATATTTGGGGATCATTCATTTACAAAGTTTACTTAAAAACGGTGCTTTAATGTGTGACCTTCACACCCTCAGTATTTATAGACAAGGTGCACGCTAGCCAAATCCAAACTATATTTAACAACAAAGTTTCCACATTTTTTACTCATGTCTGAGCTAACTACTCAAAGAATTAAAGCAGCGTTGATTTGCCTCCTTTATGAGCGCTGGTGTGTTTTTAAATCAGCTAAATGGTTTTTGTTTTCAACTTAACTCCTGAATTGATAACTTGGATACCAAGCATTCAACTTCAGCAAAAAAGCAAACTATTTAGCCTGATATATAAGAAAACATTTTCATGACTCGTAACAGCAACATTAACAGTCATTTCACTTGATTTAGTGAAAAAAAAAAATGTGTAATACTAATCAGTAGGGGATCTTTTTCACATCTGTGAAGTAGTTCTAATAGTAGTGTTGCATGTCCAGGCAGCCTTAATGAAAACGGTAACCTATTCATGAAACCTGGGAACACTAATATAGCTACTGTGGTTCTTTGGCAGGGGAAAGATGGAGAGCCTGGTCTTGATGTAAGTAATACATGCAATGAACATCTTCCTACGATAATAGATGCTGATGGTCTCCATCAGTAACAGCAAGAATACTTCTTATTGTTTCTGTACACATAGATATGCACACAACAAAAATTGCTATGCATGTAAACAGCCACCTAAACTACACCATGAGTGTTTGCATAAGGTAAACATAAAGGGGGAAAAGTAATTATCTGATATAAAATTAATAGTTGATAGTTGATTAGTGCCACTTTAAAATACTTTCCCAAATTAGGGACACTCTCAACATTTGTATTTGAACCACTTATTTTAAAATATGCATAAAATCCAAGTATCTTTCACATGCTACCCTTAGGTAACGGTGTAGTATATCTATTCTCAAAGCTCTTATGCCATATTTTTTAGCTGAAAGTCCCTATTTGTCTTACAATTCTATAAATATAAAGGATCTCAAAAGTAAATGCCTCTTGAAATGAGCACTGTTCATCCTGTATTAGGTGAATAACAACAATAGCAAAAGCAATCGTAGTTCCTGTTCAGCTTGTTACTGTTCAGTTATTGAGCAGCTTGTATGTGCAGACAGAATTCTGGTACTTTATTTCGTCGCATTTAATGCTCACACCAACAGTTGTGTAGCAGATATCATTAACCCCATTTTAGAGTCAAAGGACTAACATGCTGAGGTAAGTGATCTGCACACGGCCACACAGAGCAGTGAGCTCCCCAGGGTTCAATCGAGGATCCTGATATTCTCTCCACTGCACATTTCCTGGGAGAAAAGGCAAGAAACCTATAGTATGTAGATCATTGACGTGTTAGTAAACTAATATTCCTAAGTGCTACTTTCTCTAAGTTTTGAGATTGTTGGCGTGCCTTTTCCCTGTATATCTGTTTCAGAAACATGCAATTTTAAATGTATTTTTTCAATTTGATTTTGCCACAGTTACATCAATAGATCTCTCTGGTTTGCTTTTTGTCCTCTAGGGCTTCCCTGGTCCACGAGGCGAGAAGGGTGATCTAGGAGAAAAGGGAGAAAAGGTGACCTCTGCCTTTCAGCATGTGCCTGCCTGATCTCTCTCATGCTGTCCGCTTTGCTTCCGCTATGCGGGTCTTTCATGTGTCTACCCCTGCTCCGTCCTGTGCTCCAAAAACACGCTGATGCCTGATCTGAGAACTCAGCTCTTCACAGGGGAAGGAAGAAGGCTGCGCCACTAGAAATAAGAGCACTGTTTAGTATGGAAGAAAACATTATAATCCCCAGATAGCCAGGCTACTATTTTTCAACTACCTGACACCAGTGTGTTGAAAGATGTAATGTGCAGGGATTCTTGAAAGTGAAAAAAACAACAACAACACATTTATTACACATTAACGTAAACTGAAATAGCACAAATCTGTAGTGATTTTCTGGCCAAGCTCGCCTAACCCAGTAAAGCCTCAGTTATCTTCGGAGCGTTCCCAGGGAAGGGACAGGAGATATGTTCTGTAGCCTGATTCTTTAACTGGACACATAGAAGACAAGCAGTGTGACTGATAAACCCCAGTGAGTCCATTAGGCAGCTTTTGGGTGCTGTAGATATTTTTAAGTGACGATGTTGGTGTATTTTATGAGGTTGAGTTTAGGTTCTATCTCAGGACCCTCAGCTCCAGAGTACATAGGAGCCAAGATCAGGCAAAAGGGTTTTCTGTCTGAAAGTAAAATTTAGATGATGGATTTTTAAAATCATGTTTTCCCTTTCTCTCCCCTTTGCTTAGATCTTTGAAGAATATTTTTTTACACTGGACACAGCAAAGGAAGCAAACAAAAACTCAGCCCCCCAATAGAATAGTGAAAATCTTAAAGTGGCCAAAGTTGCACTTTCACAGTTCAATTTTAATTGCACGTTTACAATTCAAATGTGAATTGCACTTTCACAGTTCAGTTATATTCCTAAGATTAAATCTTGTCCTGATCTATTGAACAACACACTGTTTCAAAACCCTAGAAATTTTCTTTAACAGTGAAGTTCATGGCTTTTGAAAAGCAAGGCCAAGTGAGAGTTGTCAAAGAAAGAAAGGTGTGGAGACTGCTCTGTATTCTACAGGCCTTAAGTATGACTTAGAGTAGCTTCCCATTGGTTAGAGAGTTCATGTGAGCAGTTATGTAAAAAGCACCACCACCACCGCCATCAAGCTGATTACATTTACTGAGCACTTAATTGTTTTCCCAAAAGCTTCACATGTGATAGTCTTTTCATCCTCATAACAACCCCCTAAGTTGGTGCTATTTTGTTCCCATTTCACAGGCAAGGAAACTGAGGCAAAAAATAATTCTTTTATTCTGAATTACAAATTCTAACTATAAAATATAAATGTACTGGTATTTTAGCTCAAGGCGTGTGTGCTTTAAAGATTATTGATTTTCTATTTACCTGGTGGGTAGTATGAGTGCAAAATCTTACTCAAAAGTATGAAGATACTTACTTTAGTGCTCTTTTAAACAAAGAAGAAAATACCAGCATTTTAACTTATGAAAACACTAAGCCACAAATTTAATCCTCAGAGTAATGTTAGTCACCCATACAAAATGTTTTCATGTTTCAGATTCCACGTATCGAAGTTTTATCTATAGGAGAATTAGATTCTAAATGTGAACACTTTATGTATAGCATTCTTTGACATGGGAGATAAATATTAGCAGGAACCTTTAATGTGCTCATACCCACATGGACAGATGGTTTTGTGTTATAAAACTATGTTGATTAATAATAACACTGATACATTGTTCTTTATACAGTCATGTCTGTGCCCTAGCTGGTTTGGCTCAGTAGATAGAGTGTCAGCCTGCAGACTGAAGGGTCCCGGGCACATACCTCATTGCAGGCTCGTCGCCGACCTAGCCCTGGTAGGGGCACATGCAGGAGGCAACCAATCAGTGTGTTTCCCTCTCATCGATATTTCTCTCTGTCTTTCCCTCTCTTCCACTCTCCCTAAAAATCAATGGAAAAATCTCCTCGGGTGGGGATTAAAAAAAAATCGTGTCTTTTTCATAATGCTTGAAGTTTACAGAAATATTACTGAGAAATTATTCCCAAAACCTCAGTCAACATTCGTATGACAGCGCTTTTTGGTTGAGTTATTAATATGAGTTGATTTACCAAACAATGAAGTGAATTCTAAATTAATAAGACCTAACACACCTGGTGTCAGTCACACCCACGTGAAGAAGAGTCCACTGCCTCCTGAGAACGCACCGAAAAACAAGTTTCCATCCATTTTATGTCATGGCACTGAAGGTATTTGCTGAGGAAGTATGTTGATTCATCCACATGAGTGAGCAATTTACTCCCCAAAGTGCCTCCCAGCTTACTTCCTGTCACACCTGCTCTCATTTCACCCTGGCTTCTCAGGGCTTTGTCTTTAATCAAGATCAACTAAACCACACAGAATTTCTCTTTCCTGAGTGTGAAAGCAACCCGGGTGTTCTTGATTCTGAGCCTTCTGATGCAACCTTTTTGGCACACAGGACAGAAATGAGGAGCTTTCGCACACGCAGTCAGAATGAATACGTTCATTTGAATGCATATCTCATATTTCTGTTATGTGTATGTCTTTTTACCTTTGACTGTTCATGTTGTTTTGCTTCTGAAATTATTCCATTTTATTGTAACTGCCATCCTGATTGCAGAATGAATACGCTAATTCAAGTATGTATTGTATTTTGTACTCACCAACTTCTTGTCTATAAATATGCAGAATTTATGTTAATGTAAAACAGCTGAGGTGCATTCCTTCCTTCTCCTCCTTTTGCCTCCTTTCCTAAATTCCTCCATCCCTCTGATCCACGCAGATTTCCACAACCTTTACCTTGATTCCTAAATACTAATTTCCATGGCTACCTCCCCACTATGTTATTATCCTGCCTACCTCATTTTTAGTGTTAGCTCAGCTCAGTCCAAACTGCTTTTCCTCTCCTGAACAGAATTTTTTTTTAATTGCAAGTAAGCTGGAAACCCATTTACCATTGTGAGCACCTGGCATGAGATTAATAAGAGTGAATTAAAGAAGATCCCTGGGTTTTTAAATAAGTCCGTTTCTCCCATTGGTATTGCTAAGAAGTATTAGCACTTTTTAACTTTATTTGTCTGACTTAATAAGGGAATTATTTGCTCTTAGTTACCTGAAAACAAATGTTAAAATAAATAGAAGTATATTTTGATACATTGAATATTTTTTAATGAGAGCTTCAAAAAATAATGTCATAAAATTGTCTCTATTTCAAAAATGTAAACGCTGTTAATATTCTTTAATCTGGCTCAATGTAGCTTTCACCTATTACAGGATTCGGGGTGTGGGGAACAAGCTGACAGGCATAGAAAATTGTGCGAAGTATCCATTATTCCTCTGAACCTCACCTGCACTGGCTGGCTTCACAGTACAGTTGGTATCTCACACACACACACACACACACACACACACACACACACACACACACACACTAACACACACATACCCCAGATCATGGCAGAAACACCTCCTTCAAAAGGACCACTGCACCGGGCTCTGTGTCAGCACTGATCCCCCTTCATGATGGGTTGGCCTTTGGTCTCCTTCTATCAAATTATTGAGTATCGTAAATAAAATGCCACATATCGTTACCCAGAATCCATTGTCACTCTGTTATTTTTATAATATCATGCCTTACCTAAACCAGAAAACAATGGTAAATGCCCTTCCAGACTTTTATTGGCTAAATCATCTTTTGAATCACCATTATTTACCCCCCTCCAATAAAACCTGTCTTTTATTTAAACCCTTGTATCCACAGGGGGAAAAGGGAAAGAAAGGCAAAAAGGGGCCTAAAGGGGAGAAAGGAGAACAGGGTGCCCCTGGATTAGATGCACCTTGCCCGTTGGTATGTCTGACTCATGAGACTCTGACTCCAGATGTCATGTGTGAGGGGATAAGCTGGGAGAAGAGCAAGCTGGAGGGACCCATAAAAGCTGGGGTGCTGACTGGGGTCATTAAACATGGACAAGGTACTAGAATGATCCATCTGGGTAATCCCGTCATGTTCCACGCCTTGTGTCTGGCCACCAGCTCTGCCTGGTTTCTTAACACTCAAGTGTTGACCCAACACGAATGGAGGATCCAAAGAGGAACCAGCGTGGTTCTGTACTTCTCAACAGAGGTCCCGGTTCCCAGTCAAGCCCTCATGATATGTGGAGTTTTGTCCAACTTCACCGTATGTTACTTTTCACTTCAGAGTTGCTCCTCTCCCAGCTCTTCTTATTGTGGTTATTTCTTTAGCAGAACTTGTGCATAAGTGATTTCTTGTTAGTAACGTTATGAGTTAATCTTTACAAACAGGGATTCCGTGGCATTAAGGGGGAAAAAGGGGAGCCAGGCCAGCCTGGCCTGGATGGGCTGGATGCCCCTTGCCAATTGGTACAGTATTTCTCTTTCCTACTACCCTGCATGCAGTTCCTTTGTTTATTACATATTCATCTCTATGGGTGTAAAGTGGTGCTTCTGGACCACGCTTTACATGATAAACACACTACATGCATGTGCATGAACGGCTCCTTCCGCAACTCTGCAGAGTGAAGAGAGCTAGCATGCATGTCTACCAGTGACTGGAAACTAATCTCCTAATGTTCTCACAACTGACATGAGCCGGGTCTGCCTTCTGGGGGATATTAATTTATTCAATAAATAGTTAAAGATTACATTAACATTACACGAAAGGCTTTTATGTACTAGTAAAGGCATAGCTAGCCCATAACTTTGGGTTTTACCCCTAAATTGAACTTTTTTTTCTTTTCCTCTAAAGGAAATAAAGGCATTTTTGCCTCTTCCACTAAATTTCTGTCCGGCTGTAAGGCCAAGCCTACAGAGTGAAGCCTCTGCAGTCAGGAGTAGCCATTTCTAGGGAATGCTGTTAAGAGACTGTAGGGAAGTAAACCAAGCTTCTTTGAGCTTCTAAAGATAACGGTCTACAGCCCAAACTCTCCTCTTCGTCACATAACCTTTTGATTTAATGGTCTCTCCTTTTGAAACTCACTTTCCTAAAGTAGACAGAACTCCCTTATCTCCATTGGCATGATCCCAAAATCCTCCTTTTACTAAAATCTAAAATTCTACTGGGTGATCCTTCTCCTTGTACCAATCTGGCATTACCGAATTTTTCCCAAATATCTTATAAAGCTATTTCAAAGTGGGTTTTTTTTAAGTTGTTTTAAAAAGTATATTCATATTTTCTGAGGTGTAAAGGAAAACATTTTATGGTAGTGTTGATGGTTATATTTGGTCTGCATGTTCTTATATTGTTTTTTAATGCTAAGCATGTTTCTATAAAGATTACTTTGTTTCTCAAGCCTTTTAAGAGATTGTGTTTATAGAAAAAATGTGACAAGAAGGCTCATAATTACAATTAGAAAATATCAATGTGAAGTGCCGAGTCTTTTATTTTGTTAGCTTGGTAATGATAATAAATAATACTTTACAATCATTTTGTTGGGTGGAAACACAAGCATGCCTCATCACACCCCAACTCTCCCTGCTTTATTTATGCCATTTGTATCTGAAGAGTGTTCACACTTTAATTAAAAATAAATGCTGCAGCATTTAGGAATCCCAGGTTTATTCAGAATTTGTTAACTGGCTTCTGAAGAACTTTAATAGAAAAATTGATGAATAACATTTTACTGTAAAGATATAGATAGGCTGCCTATGTTTTAATTTGGTTGATTAAATATATTCCAATATATCTGCTTTCAATATAGAAAAGTGAAAAATAGCCTCTGAAGAGCTATAAACTTCAGATAGAAATGGTTCATCATTGATTATTCATCATTATCATGCATTCAACCATATACCATTGTGACCAGGAAGTGAAGTTATTTCAGTTTACTTAAAGATCATTGTGAAATATATGTAAATGAAATTAGGATGAATAGTACAGATTTGTTATCCCAAGGTAGAACTGAGTAGACCACTATGCTTTGTAAATTGCTTTTTCAAAATTAGGCATATTTTTTATACTTTATGTATTTTCAAAATGTGTACTCTCCCTAAAAAAAAAAAAGCATTTGAATTTAAAAATTAGGTATTATATTAGGAGTTAATTGTTAATAATTAGAAAAATATGCCTATGACTAAAGCTACTAATGTGTAGAAATCCATCTTGTAAATCTCTGAGCATGTGAATTATGAAGTATGATCACTTTCGTGGAGCTAAGGAATTCTTATTCTTCTTTAAAACAGGGCCCAGATGGATTACCCATGCCTGGCTGTTGGCAAAAGGTAGGCTTTATGGAATTATTTCTAAAAGAAGCACTCTCCCTTTCTCTCCACCTGGCCTAGCCTTTTCCATTTAGAGGAGACCTTATGAATGAGACATTGCTAAAAGTTGTTTGGCTATTAAAAAGAAAAAGATACCACCTTCAGAAGATCTTTCCATTATGTTTACTGCTGACTTCTTCCTGAACTGAGGCGTGGAAACAGTTCCTAACAAACGTAGTTTGGGGCCTTCCCCTATCTAGTCCTTTCTTTGGATGGAAAGGGGCAGGCCGTGCATCTCCGTAATGGTTTGCTTGTCTCTCAGTGACCTCCTTATACTCCTAATGTTTAAAACTACTCTTGACTGTGATTGTTTTTCTATGTATACTGTTACTTAAGTAAACATGCAAATACGTGGTAGAACCCTGTCAATGTTAGTCACTAAGCTGAGAAAGCAGAAAATGTAAGCATGATCTTTTTTCTTCAGTGATATCTTGAGTTATTTAGGAGACTCTGGTTATATTTAAGTTGGGGTCCTTTGTAATAGTTTATTCTAGCCTCTTCATATAGCTACCTGTAGCCATTGTGTAGGAAAAGGAACTTACCCTAACAGAGAGCCTTCTATGTGACAAGCCCTTTTACATAAGGGGTATCATTTTATTTAATTGTCACAATAGCCCCCTAGGGTGTTATCCTCAATGGTTCTGATGGGGAAGCTGAAATTCGGAGAGGTTAAGTAACTTCCAAGGCACAGAGCTAGTAAGTAACAGAACAAGAAGTGGACGATGGGAAGCGATGGCCTGACTTTAAGCAGGGAAAAGCTGTGTCCCTGCTGTGCTGAGGGAGTGCCAAGCCTTTACACAAGAATGGTGTGAACCTGTAAAAGACTGTGCACGTATGCTACTGAAGGAGGAGGGAACTCCACTGATGTAAAAATAAGCCAGGCGGAAGCATCCGTGCTGCTTTGATCATTTTGATTTTTTTTCTCTAAAACCTTGTGGTTTTTTCAGTTATTTTTGACAGGCATTTTTTCACCGGCCAAGTTATACAAAACTATGTAGGATTGTAGAAAGATGAAGAGAAACTTAACTCTCCTGGTTTCGTCTTAGCTCATCAACTGTGTTGGTGAGATCCTGTGTAACTTACTCTCTTGCTTGACCACTCTCACCCCACTTGACTAGGGAAAGAAACACCTTCCTTCTTCCTCAGCAGCGTCATTTATTTAGTAGCTTCCCAAACTCTGCTTTCAGCCTCTCAGATAATCATCTCAATCACACCTGAGGTCAAGTGGTTCTTAGAAAGATGGGTCTATCATCGTATTCTTCTTCACCTGAGAAAAGTATCCTTTCACCTTCATAACCCCTGTTCTCAGAATTTTTAATACATCCTGAGCTGGGATTACCATGTGCTCTTTGACCTTTGACCTGTAATCTAATATTATAATGGTTTTTTAATACATTGGCACAACTGACATAGAGGTAGATGTGAAAGGCTTATTTTACCAACCTTCGAATACTACTCAGAACTTGGCTCATATAGTTTTTAGCTGCTTCTAAATCACTTCTTTTCTGTGAGGGCATAATAATGGCAACAAACAAAGCACTCATCATCTTTTAGTTCATAAAAAGGCCAGTCCTAATAGTAATACGTCTGGCATCAGAAAATCAGATATTTCCCTTTTAAGTACTCATTTTTCCACAGAATAGATACCATGATCTACATAAGATCAAGGATTTCTTAAATCTCGCATCTTCTTATATAAAAAATAATAATTCACTGATAAAACTCAGTATTGCTTACCACACTCCCAGCACACACAAAAACAAACCATTGGGATCAACCTCTCTCAACACCCTTCTCCCCAAAAAGTAGAAACAGTTAGAAAAAAATGGAATGTTCTGAAATCTCTTAATGTGGTCAATTTAGCTATCTGAAATAACACTTAGTCAAATCAAATTATTTTTTAAGTATTTTTAAAAGATGTCCAGTAGATTCCTTATGTAGTCCTGTTTTATGTGGATCCCCCTTTTAAACATTATTGTTTATTAGCCTCGGAGCATAGTGGTAAATGTTTGAAAATTCAGATTGAGGTGACCACGTAACTCGCTATGATTAATGAACAAGTCCCTTTGGTTATGCTGCTCTCTAGTAATATTTTTATGCAAAAATGATTTCATCTTTGTTTAAATTACTTTTCCTTTTAGATATAGTTCAGTTTTCTAAATTTTGAAGAATAATGATGTACCAGTTCACCATGTAATTCATACAGTGAGTAAATGGCAGCATTTATGGTTAAGAAAATACTTACAGACCATTAAAGTTGTATCCATCCCCATCTGGAGATTAAAACTATTTAATCAGAAAAACACTTATAGCTTTTGTATTTTTTAATGTCTTACTAAACCTTATTTTTCCAGGTAAAGCTAACAAGTTTTTAGCAGAACCTTCCTAAAACAAGATGACAGATTTTAAAAAATGCTTTTATTGATTTCACAGAGGAAGGGAGAGGGAGAGAGAGATAGAAACATCAGTGATGAGAATCATTGATGCCTCCTGCACTTCCCCCACTGGGGATGGAGCATGCAACCTGGGCATGTGCCCTGACTGGGAATCAAACCCTGACCTCCTAATTCATGGATTGATGCTCAACCTCTGAGCCACACTGGCCATATTCTCTGGCATGGACACAACATGCATAAACATGGAGTGAACTCCATCTCTAAAAATCACAAAGTTCCCAGCCTCTCCCAGGCACATCTAATGTAGGATCTATTTTTCTTGGAAAAAAACAAATGTTTTTAATTAATGAACTGGACATTTTACTTTTCTCGTCGATTTTTATTTTTGAGTAAGTCACCATCTCCAAGATCTGCTGTATAAGTTTATACTTCAAAGATGATTGGCCCTCAGTTCTCTCAGACTTAACTTTAGTTCGAGGAAAACCTTAATAATTATGGCTGTTCAAAATGAGAAACCAGAGATTTATGGTACCTTAGATCACAGTGGAACCTGTAATGCAGCTTAAGGACCCGCTAGCAGGCTGGTTTACCTTGCCCATCATCCACAGCAGGACAAGGCTAACAAAAGGAAAGAGGAAACAGGAAGAGTCAGGTGTTGGTGAAGTAAGTAGTGCCACTGAGGTCAGAATCCTCAGCCTTTTCCACAGTGTGGTTTAATGCTTAGAGAAGACTATGTAATTTGTAAATAGGACATGTGTATTTTAACTATGGCACATGTATGCTAAAAATCCTAATTTTCTGCTTTCCCAGAATAGTTACTGAAACAAACACTTACCAGAAACTTATCTGCTGCAAAAGGAAAATGTGGGTTTGAATCTAGGATAGAAATTTTGATGACACTGGAGTTTTAGAAAAGTAATATGTAAGACCCATATTGATTGGCTCATTGATTGACAAACAACAACTCTATTCAGGGTTCTACCAGTTTTTCTTAAAATAAATGTTAATTTGGAATTTTTATCCTAGACCACTAATTCTATATATTTGTCTTTTTTGTTGTTTGTTTTTCTGCAGTGATGAAACTAACCTTCCGAGCATGAAGTTGTGTATATAGTGGTCCACTCTTTATATTTATAGTTGAAAATCAAATTGCAGATTTTACAAGTCTGAGATATGTTTACATATAGCTGCTTCTTCCTGTTTGCAGTAGTACACATGTCCATCTTTTCTTTGCTTACATCTAAAATTGGGCAACATGTGAAACTAGTGAGAAGCCTGCAGAAAAATATAGATCAGTATCTCTTTATCTTATGTAAAGATGCCTATTTATATGGACATATCAGTGATAGAGAATGATTGTTCTTGCTATTTTCTTACTTTGGGCTTGCCAATTGCATGGACAAAAGGGGCCATGAAATAGTTTACATAAAATTGTGACCAAATATGGACTCAAAACTATGAAAATGTACCGTACTGACCGATGTTAGCGTTTATTGTCACATCCCTACTCACCTTCACTGTTAGCGCTGAGTTCACACCACCCATTGAAACTGACTAAAACAGCATGACCCTGCCAAACCTGCCTGCTGTTGTGCACCTTCAGATGCTAGCACGCCTCTTGGTGAGTCCTTCAATCACATCTGAGCTTTTATTTCTTTTGTCATCTCAAGGGGGTTACACCATGGCTTATTGCCAAAAAGAGATAAAGTGGTGGAGAGCACACACACAAGTGGTCTTGTATTTTGAGGGAGTTGCAGTCCCAACTGCAGATCTACAGCTTCCAGTATTGTGGGCTCACGTGGCCACCTTGGTTGAAATATCCAGGGGTTGAGCTGGTTGTGCCGCCGGTTTTCCTTGGGCTGCCCTTGGCAGTGAAGACCAGGAAAGGGGACCGGTTCAGTATCCTGCGCTGTCTCTCCTGTGACCAAGTAGGAAAGAGGTGTAGAAATGCAGGCACCCAGAACAGCCGACTTTTTCTTCTAATAAACTGAATTCAAGCAGGTGTTAGTATGGGTGCTTTTGGAGAACGACAGAGACATACAGCTCTTCTTTGGAGTAGAAGATTCTTGGAACGGCAGCCCCTGTTTCTTAGGAAAGGGTGTGTACCTCCCGACAAAGCTCAGGTTGCTGAAGAAGTCACACGTCTTGAAGGGGGCTCACTCCACAGTCTCTACCGAAGCTGATGTGAGAGCCTCCATTCTCTCCAAAATCGAACCCGTTTCAAACATTTTCTACAAAGTTCTAGAAAGAGAACATGTTTCCAACTCTTTTAAATACCTTTTCTTTTCTTTCTTTTTTTATTCCAAGGAATACTAAGCTGAAACTCTTTTGTCATATTTGTTTGAACTTTTTTTTTAAAGAAAGGTCTTCAAATTCTAATAATGAAACCAATAATCAAGATGACATTTTACTAACTTTCTTTCTTGTTATGAATAATTGAAGAGAACGTAAAAGAAGCTCCAGTTTCACTTCAGTCACTGTAAAGTATCAAAGTTAAGAAATTCTTTTCAGTACTTTTTTACTTTTTTTCATATGATGAACATTACATACATAGTGATTATCACTTAAGATAATGTCAAGATTTGGTCACATTTGGTAGTATTAACTCATTTCTATTTTTTGTAGTTCTACTTAGATGTAAGTTTTGTCTATATTTAGATTTCTTTATCTTTTTTTATATTTCTAAATGTTTGTCTTATGCACAGACCAAATCTGAGATCTCAGAAAGCTGTGAAATATAGTTGCCATATAGTTTCCATTAAGAGAGTATTTTTTCATCTTCTTGCTCAAAAGTTACCTAGCTGTATTAGACTGAGCATTTCTTTGCACAGTAAAGTGTTGGTATCATGTTTTGAAATGGCTTATTCTACATAGAAGAGTTCCATTAAGAGAAACATCATCAATGAGGAGTAGTCACTTTTTGCTCATTGGGCAATATAATTTTTCTCTGGACTCAACACCATTTTGTGGGAAATTTTCTAGTTTCATGCACAGGTTGTTACCACCCGAGGGGAAACTAATTCATCATTGACTTGGGCTGACAGTAATTAAGATATGATTATAAGACAAGGATCCTAAGGTCCTTATGATCTCTTTCATATTATATAACCGAATGTTCAATTATACACATTGCCTTCTTTTTATTTCATTAAGTTTTCAAGATTGGAAAGATATTCAAACTATTACACCCATCTAATTGGTCACATTTCTAGTAACATTCCACACTCTGAAGCCAATTTGGCATTTTTAAAACAATAGAGGGAATTTTTCTAATGATCTCTTCTATGACATGGTTAGGATGAGGTATTATCGTTTAATGTCTGAAACGACTTGTCTTAAATAGATTGGAAAAATGAACTAAAGCAGGTAGAACTACAGTATTTTCAGGAAAACAAACAGTACTGTCGTGAGAAAAATCTAGTGGCTATATTTCATTCTATGTATCTTTCTTACTCTTTTAGTATAAACAGGTATCAAGATGGATCACTATTTAAAACTTGCACAGCTTCTAAAGAGAATACCTCAAAAGATAATCATTTTATGTACAAAATTTTTTTAAATACAGCCCTTTAAGAATATTGTTCTGTCCTATGTGTATATCAGGTTTTTGCTCTGATTTGACAGCATTGACTTTTATTCCATGATTAAGGAATAAAATTATTAACTTCCATTACATTTATTTTCTTTGGACAAACAAAGGGATGCTATCACTCCTCTTTGTTCAGTGGAATTACTAGGTCTTAACCACTATGGATAATCTTAAATTTTGGGTTCCTAAAATATTTTCAACCATCCATTTTGTCATCAAATAATTGCCGAATGAACTAATAAATTATGTTTGCTGATACATGTGTTGGCAGGTACATATTTTTCTTAAAGATTTCTTTCTTTTTAATTTATATTATTAAATAGAGGATTGAGGAAAAACACATGAAAGACACAATGGAAATAAGTCAAAATCAGGTTCTATTTCTGATAAGCATCTTTTAAGGATACCAAATTGGAATGTGTTTTAGCTTTAAATTTTTTTTTCATTCATGTTGGTGCTGATGTATTTCTTTTACTTTTCTTTATGGACAGTGCAGCTCTACTATGGATTTCATTTCTCAGTTTAATAGCATTCCTAAACTGTTAGTGTGTGATTTTATTTTTTCATGTTTATGAATTTGTTGTAATTATGGTTCAATGACTAGTCTTTTTAAATGTAAAACAAAACAGTATAACCTGCAGATGATGTTTCCTTACTTGGATCATGTTCTTTTTACATGTTCTTGTCATATGCTGTATGCCTTTCATCAGCTTTCATTCTCATCTTTTAACTGACATAATTTGATTAAGTGTTGCAAAACCAGAATTAGATATGTCTGCATACATTCATAGCATACCTGACACACAAATATGCCTAAATTTTTCTTCTAGTTTTTATTTTCATTATGAAAAACAATCTTGGAGAGTTTTTCTTTTTTATTTGATTTTATATAAAACATGAGGATATCTTGAATTTCTATCTCCCAAAAAATGTCTGTTCTTGAATTGACTTCCAATACATGATGTTCTAAAGGGACAGCAAGAACTTATACATCTAGTAGTTCATCCTACATGTCCTTTCCTAGTTTGGAAAATGGTCAGATCAGCATGTCAGTAAGCTATGGAAAAGTTGTCTTTGGTAGCTTATATTTTTATCACTTGGAAAATGTGCTTAATTTTCCAAGGTTTAAATTTTTTTCAATGTTACTATTGTAGCATAAAATGTTAATACCATTTTTCATCTTTTCTTTTCTGTTTTTGGCCCTATGTATGATTTTCTCAGAAGTCATTTATGTTTGCATGGTGAGTGATATTGTAATTATAGAAATATGCCAATATTGGAATTTTTCCTATTTCTTGATAATCAAGTAATATCAATAATTAACAGTACCAAAAGTGTTATACCAAAACAAAAAACAAAGTCCCTGCTATCTCTAGAAAGTCAAGACCAGAGCAACATATTTATATATTCTCATAAATAACAATTAAGAACAATGACCTGTGTTTGATTCTGGCTGTTAAAATTATTCATTCCTAATGAAAGTAACATGATTGACCAATGATGATTTTGTTGGCCTTCAGTCTATTCCTTTACTTTTGTTGAATAACTTCACAATGACTAGATTTACTATATGCCATAGCAGAGATACCCTTTCAACTTAAATTTTTAGTGGGTTTAATTTTCATTAATACAATACTGAAACGTTTTAATGGCATATCTGATTTTTTTAATGTATTTAAATGCATAAGATTTCCTGTGCTGCTTCTTGACAGAACTGTCCTTTTGGGAATAGGAAGACTTTTTCAACCTGACCAGTTATAATTTGTGGATAACTTAATAAATTACCATCCTTTCTCAAAATGCGGTTGATATTCTCCATATCTCAGAAACATTAATAAATTGGATTCACAAAAGAATGTCTTACATATTATTGACATTTATGTGAATGTTCTTTATACTGTTGTAAATGTTTCATGCAACTTAATAACATTTTTAAAAGGTGTATGTATCTGATTTTCCTTTAGAAAATATTATATTTTTATTTGTATTTTTTACATTTTAAAGTTCATCTCTATGTGCAGCTATTTTTATATTGCCAAAAAAATCACATGAATACAAAATAAGAGGAAAATGCAGAAAACATATTTTGGCAAGCATTACACTGCATATTTTTCTTAATGTTTTGTTGGCCAGTCTCATGTAATTGATTATTCTAAGAATGTGTTGTGTGTTGTCACTGTAAATATGGCACAAACCTGTTTTTCTCAGCAGTGTAAATAATTGAAAGATTGAATTCTCCCTGTTTGATTCCTTATTTCAGTTTCATTTTAATTTCTCCTGCTGACATTGCTGAATCAAAAGAAGCGTGTGGTTTTCAATTTGCAGTTTGAAGATAATTGCATTATGTTCAGTTTCTCATTTGTCTTTATTTGCTTTTGTAACTTGTTTACAAGGTTCCTAGTTTGTGAGAAGTTGATCTTCAAAATTATTTTTACACTATTTATGACTTATTTTCATAATGTACAAAGTGTGTAATTACTACAGTATTAATCCAAACAATGGTAATGAATTGTACTGTTATAAAGCTTTATTGATGTTCATGAATACCTTGGCCTGTTTTCTCTGATTTAAACACAGTCCATAAGTCATTTTATTCTACTTTTCTACAATATTGCAATACCATCATTCAACTTAATGCACATACCTAGCTATGATGATTTTCTAAAAAAAAAAAAATTGTACTCTCTGTTTCTGAGGTAGTAATGCCCCTCCAAAGTCACCATTCTTCCATAATTATCCATCCTGATGGATTAAACTTCCTTGCACCCCGTTAACTTTTATTTCCACCACATCAGATCAGTCATCATTATTCAATTAGAAGGTAGTACACACTATTCACTGACATGTATTGGGGAATGAATGACTGAACATCTCCACTCAAGTCACCAGTTATTTACAGGCCCTGTCTGAAAGCGCATACTCTTCAGTCCTCGTCTTTCTCGCTCTTACCTGGTAGCATTCGATGCATTTGACCACGGCCACCGTCTTACACACTCTTTCCTTTAGTTCCCATTTCCCTGTACTCTTGTTTTCTCTTGCTTTCCTGTCTTGTTTTCCTTTGCCAGCTCTTCCTCCTCTCCCTGATCATTAGACGATGATCCTCAGGACTCTGACCTACATGCTCCTTTTGCTTTTGCCCTTCTCTGCCTCACTCACTCTCTCCACGAAGACCAAGTTGCTACCTCCACTACAGATGTTCTTCTCACTTCCAGACCAGCTGTTACAGGCACGGCCACCTGATTGTCTCCCACCATCTTCACTTCATGCCTGGTTCTCTTCCAGACTTCCATATCATAAAGACCACACCATCTGCAC